GGTTCAGCAAAACACAGGAATATGACACAAGACAGAGGTGTTTGATTCCAATGAGAAACCAGCATTTTATATTGTAACCATGACAATAAAGACCATATAATGTTTAGGAAGTATTTATTACATTATTACATTTTGTACGTAATCTAACCAAGCCATGACCATTATTATAGTAACCATGGTGACGAAGGTAGGTGCACCGCTGTCAGTACAGTCCATGTCTTAAATTATTGTGACCATGACAACTGAGGTCCAGTATGACTGCTGCGCTATTTCAGGTCGTATCAGAGGGCTTACTGTTTTCTGAGTTATCTTACAAAAATAAACAGATTTCAGTTAAACACTCAGAAAAACCAAGTCCTGCAAGGTTGAATCCAGGTGGGTGTGGCTGAGAGCATTTACTGTATAGTTGTGACATCACAAAGTTCCAGAAGTCCTGACGGCTGGTTTTAAGGCTCAGTTTCTGAATACAGGCTGTGTGCATTTCTCTGTGGACTGAGCGCTTTGATACTTTCACAGTATTAATATAGAACCTAGACCTGATCTATAATCAAACAACACATGGACCTCTACCTTTATGCTATATGGACCTTTAAGTAAAACTCCACACATGCAAAAAGCTCGTTGTTAAAGCCTCTTAAATGTGAAATCTGCTGCCTTTCTTTTGTAAATTTAATATTTTTTGGTTTTGAAAACAAAACAACCATTCAGTGACATAAGCTTTGGCTCTGTGAAATTGTTTTCTGATGTCATATCAACCAAACAGGTAATAGATTAATGAGGAAAAATAATCTGCAGATTAATTGATTATGAAAAAATCGTTATAGCTGCAGCTCCAGAACCAGCATCTCAACTGCTCCTAACAGCGTTTTAACTGTTCCTTCCTTTTTTATTTTTTGCTCCAAAGTGTCTTTGCCTCCATCTCATAACTATGCCGCTCCCCAATGAATTGTGGGAAAAACGGGACATAATGGAAATGAGAAACCAGGACAGTTTTTTTCCCTCTCTCTCTCTCTCTCTCTCTCTCTGTCTCTGTGTAATATGTGCACCTCCCTCTCTCTCCCCAAAATAATGAAGACTAAGTCATGTCTGTGTAAATTAATTCCTCTCATAATTCCTTGAGCTAAATATAGAGCCGGAGACTTGAGTGACTTACAGTGATAGTCAGAGGGAATTATTCAGTCCTGTGCTGGATTAACACATGAGATGATGGTTCTTGAAGCAACGAGTAGATGGTCATTGTCTTTTTTCTTTCTTTTGTGAAGGAAGAATCAGTTAGTGTTCCTCAGAGGAGGCAGAAAGAGAGGAAGAGTGTGGTGTTGGGGATGGGGGGGGAGTTAAGCCGTTGCATGCCTTTAGTTTGCAGGCCACAACAGCTGTCAAAGCCTGACTGAAACATGTCCCGAGGGACAAAACTGGCTCTCAGTGTCCCTCCAAAAGCAAACATGAAGACACACATCAAGGTGGCTCCCACGCAGCCCCCCCCCCCCATCTCTTCCTTTCCTTTCATTTTCCCTCTAATGATGCAAAGTGTTTCTTGCTGCAGTGTTATAGGTAAGTGATCATTAAGAAACCTCCGCTTCTCTTTTCCCGCTTATTCCTGAGAGAAACAACTCGTCCTCCCCCGAGAGGAGCTGTACCTCTTAACACTAACACCCACTCACATTCTTACAGAAGCTGCTTTGTTCTTCCTCTTTCTTTCAGCTCTGTCCACTTTCACTTTTTCACTTCCTCCTCTGTTCATCTGCAACTTTACACTGAGACCAAGAGCTTATTACATAAACCCGATGTAAAGACCAGTGTCCAAAACATGCATGTTTAGACTGGAGAGTGAACACGCCTCTGTGTGTATGTGTGTTTCTTAAATTATGTGTGTGCTCTTTAGACAGAGCATCAAACATTGCACACACTCGGGCTGACAGTGTTGAACATGAAAGCCGCTGAGACTCATTAAGCTGCTGATTACAGCTCGGGGAGGAGAGTCCTGAGCAGCTGCTGCGCTGACACACACACACACACACACACACATACACACTATGACAATGTTTTTTTTTAATTTACTGTATGACCTCATGTGTATTATTATAGCGAGGACTCATTCACAGATTTAAGAAAACTATTTATATTATCTTGAGTCAAGCTTGGAGGTGTGTGTGTGTGTGTGTGTGTGTGTGTGTGTGTGTGTGTGTGTGTGTGTGTGTTATTCCGCTGGTTGTAACACCTAACACCTATGGACGGGACAAGTGTATTACCTCAGTAACACACACCTGGGTCTGTCTGATTTCTGTTGTACAACCAGAGCCAGAGGTATTGTTTTCGGGTTGTCGGTCTCGTGGACACGATATCTCAGTAACGCCTTGAAGAAGCTTCTTGAATTTTTTGGCATAAACATCCACTTGGCTCCACTCAAGAATGAAGTGATTCAATTTTGGTGGTCAAAGATCGAGCGCGCGGTGACCTCGTAAAAACGCGGCCTTGGCCTTGTGAAGGTGATCTCTTCAGAACTTTTCAAGGGAATCATTTAACATTTGGCACAAACATTCACTGTGACTCAAAGGTGAACACAAAACACTTTCTAGCCAGTACTCAAGACTTATGACAAAATTCTGGATTCTGGATAAACAGGGATGTAACCTGAAACTAGTCGGAGTAGTGAGGTGGTAATTCAAGTTTTTACGTGTTTTGGATTGGTCAGAATTTAGTGAGGATTTTTATTGTTCGGATTTTTGGTTTTACTCTTACTATGAAGTTATTCAAACCACCATTTTCATAGTAAATGGTTTACTCACAGTTCAGCTTTGTCTTTGTCTGTCTGCTCCTTCTGTCCTCTTTGTCTCCACACACTCACACACACACACTCACACACACACACACACACACACACACACACACACACACACACGGCTCCCAGGGTGAGATACCATCAGTGTTTTGGTGATTTGTAACATTTTTCAGAAATGAACTAATGGCAGTTTGTGCTCGAGCACTCAGCATGAAAGCTTTTCTATGGAGGCGCATCAGCAGCCATTAGGGTGGCCTTGGCAAAGCTGCAGACTCCCATTCATGTTGTGTCTTGCTTTGTTTTTTTTTATTTTGTGTGTTTGTGTCATTTTGTAACTTTGTGCCACATACGCCAGAGAAATATGAATGAAGGTACTGTGCTTGTGTGCATTAATATTCAGAGCGCAGGACTCGGAGCTGTTTGCCAGTAAAAATGTGTTTTTTACTGTTTCTACTGAAAAACAGGCTGAAATGTAGTTTGGGTTTAGTCTTTGATGAAGGTTAACTGATGCACAATACGAAATCTATTTACAGTAGAGCAGAAGAAGGAGCAGAAGGGGCATCGAGGTCCACGTGGTCCGGTTCAGATCCAAACTCAGCAGCTCTCAGCTGTTGCTCTTGACAACAGCAGGAGGAGGGGCTTGTTGCTGGCAGGGTTTTGGTGAGGTAGGAGCTGCCAAGCTGCCGAGCTCTCCCTGTGGGACGAGGCCTGAGTGCTCAGCCCTGCTACTTGGCTTTACTCATGCGAACCCCCGGGGCCTGCAGAGTCAGGCTGCATGTATGAGGACACACAGATGCACACGGGTGCATCACAGACACGCGGCTTGACATGCTCGTGTTCACATACAGTGTTTAAAGCCAAGTGTTTGATATCTTTGTAACAGCTTCCTGAAGCTGCTGTGAGTAAAAGTGAAGGATTATTGTAATATTTTCTGTGTTTTCAAACTGCTTTTCAATGTAAATTTAAAAGCAGCAGATGTCCTGTAATTCTTCAGCATGGTGCAACAATTATTTCCATTACCAATTAATCTGCTGATTACTTTTTGACTTTCGTGATCATCTGATCAGTAGATTGAGCCTTAGAATGTCAGAAAATAGTGGAAAACAAATTGTAGTTTTTCAAATAACAGTTTCCTAAAGCCCCAAATTCACATCTTAAAATCCGACCCAACAGAACAAATTCAAAGATGTTCAGTTTACTGACACATTAAACATAGAAAAGCAGCAAATTCTCCAATCTGACGAGCTGCAACTAAAAATAAAGTGACAAGATTTTTGCTCGAAAACAGTCTTTATGGATTATAAAGTAATAATCAATTAATCAACTAAAACATAGTTGAGATCACATACAGTATATTTATCTGATTAATTGAGAACTAGCATGACATCTCAGAAATTTGGTGGTTGATTTAGCAGAGGGCAAAGCAACAAGTGATTTGCCTTTAGTTTTGATCCAGGAATTTCCAAAGAATTTCCAAAGACTGTGGGACCAGAGAAGTTTTGTTAACATTATGACTTTTCTCATGGAACAGAGAAATTGCTTCTAACTCTGAAGTGAAACATAATCTGGCATGCGTCTCTGTGTTAGACTGTGTTTTCTTTGGTGCATCTATTTTAATTAAAATAAGACAGAGTAATGTCTCTTCTAATGCCTTTATTTTGAAGGAACTGAATTCAGGTCCCATGGACACGTCTTAGCCACATTTCCTGTAACTTCCTGTAAAGGAAACAGCAGCAGCTGATATGACCAAAAGCAACCAGTACACAGTAAAATAAAGCTGATATCTGTAAGGAATGAAACTAAACTCCAAACCACAAAGATTTGCTTATCTGTTTGTTAAACTGAAGGCTTGAAAATCCACCAGTTTAGCATAGGACAAGGCTCATGAGTTTGTGAGGCCTGATGTGATTAAAGTGGGAAAGTTTGCTTTTGACTATGTTTGAACATTTTCACAACTTTGTTATGCATAAGTGCACTAACTGAACTAAATCAAAGAGGAAAATTGTCTGCATACATCTCATATTTACTTCGTGTCAGATCCAAATGGAGTTTTCTACAATTTCTCTGAGCGCTTCTCAGTTTGGATTTGCTACAGAGATATACACACACATTTAAAGACACAGTTTGAAAGACACTCTGTAATGTAATGTGTATGTCCTGATGAAAAGTAATGTAGACATCCTGCCTCTTAACATCCAACACATTTTTTTTTTTTTTCCAGATCCTGAGGTGAGCGGACGGCCTGTTGTGTTTGTCTGTGACGAGCTCGTTGTTCAGAGGAAACTATTGACTGAGAAACAAAATGTCTGCTGCTAACATCATCCTCACACTCCTCCTCCTCTCAAACTCGGTAAGCTGATTTAAATTAGTTTTTATATTTTATTTATTCTCTTTAAATGTGTCTGTGTTGGAGTGTGTGCTCTTGTGCACTCGCAGCTAAAACAATCCACATGCAAACACACTCAGCAACAGGTGGAGCTTTGCATGAATAGATTCAACAAACAGGGATTGAGGCCGGTTTTCCGTGCACTTGTACAGTCGTACATGTTGTTAAAGTAACCAAGTGTCGGCATCAATAATTCATTGATCAGTGTGTGGCAGGGACGATGGATAAGGATGCATTCTCATCATTTATTCATTGCTTATTCAACATCATTCCTGTCTGTTAAATCTGTGACGAGGAAGACTCCTCTCCTCTCCTCTCCTCTCCTCTCCTCTCCTCTCCTCTGCCAGGAAGTGATCTTTTATTACTGTAGTTAAATGTGAGTCATCACCCCTGAGCTGAAGTGTTGTCTGAGAAACTGAGAGATGAAGTTTATTTGAGCAGAAGAGACGATGGTGAACAAGGGGGAGGCGGAAAAAGAAGATGGAAAATAAGTTGTACAGAAGTCCACTTTTCACTGTAGGTATTGTAACGTTAACGCCACAATTTAGAATTTACTCTCGTTGAAATGGGGCACCAGTCCTCCGGGAGGACAACAATGAATTACTTCATTGATAAATTTATCAATCTCATATCGGAAGCCATAACTTCTTGATTCAATGGATCTCCAGTCTCTACGTCAAAAGAATATACAACAGGACAACAACTGGGTGTAAATAAAGGAGTTTATTAACTAAACTACTCTCTACAGAGTAAATGCAAGGTGTAATAATCATAAAGATGAAAATAATAATGAAATGAGCAGTGTGATGAGTTGGCAATGGTGGGAGAGAATATGTTATGGCTATACACTATGGCTATACAGCTAATGATACTACATCTAGGAATGAGATTTGATGATTAAATATCACTATATTTCGACATCAACCCAGTCATGAGCAGAGTGTTAAGACCGGCCTACTGTGAGTTGCTCTGTAGCTGGAGACTCTCGGCTGGAACCCAGGTGGCTGTGGTTGCCGTGGTAACCCTGGAGATGCGGGATCTAGGTGGATTCTCCTGGATTACACAGCAGTTCTTTGACTGTAATAATAATAATAATATGGACATGCTGGATGTCATGTAGTGTGTGTTACCTCATGTGAAGGATGCTGACAGTATGGTCACATGAAGGATAGTGTCTTAAATTCTACATGTTACATTCTATAGGATAGAAGTTTGGGATCAAACTATTGCATAGGAACATCTCATGAGTTACAGAACAGTTAGATATTTAATTTTACATTCTTCCTCAGATCTGTGTCTGTGAAGAGAGTTCTGCTGGTCACTACCCAGGACTGGAATGTGGGTTGTAGTTTATGACTTTTATCTAGAGAGGGACAGAGGAAGGGAGGTTGGTGTGTGAGTGTGTGTGTGTTCATGCATGGCACAGAGAGGCCAGGATTCACATCTTAGTGATGATCAGTCCTTTTGTTGTTATTTGTCCTCTATAAGAAACAATCAAATATCATTAGACAGAGTCTGATTGTTACAAACTGGAGATTTTGCCTATATTCTCCAGTTGCCTGGTGTCCATTGGTTAATCCTCTGGAGCTGACCCTTTGACCTTTGGTCCGGTTCTGTGTCTCTCTGACATGCTAAAAGCTGGTCTGTTTGTGAGAGAAGGGTCCTTTGTCTCTGTTTCCTATCAATTTGATAGTTTGATGGTGGGAAGAGTCCAGAGTGTCAGTTTTGGGTCCACAACTCTTCTTTAATGGCTTGTGACTGATGCCAGGCCAGGTATGTACGCTACAGTATGTTAACAGTCAAGAAAGAGAGAGCTGAGCAGATGGAAAAAGAATAATTAAATACTCTACAGACTCAAGTGCTAGGTGATTTATGTGTTGTGTTTGCATGTGCTGCAAAAGGTATTGGGTTTTAATGAGCCAGTGACGTAAGTTACAGAATGCACTGTGGGATAGTTTGGAAACAGAATATAAATAGAAAGGAGACGCACAGGTTTGAGAGTTGAACAGTTGAAGAATTAAGAAGTTAGGGAAGAAAACAGACCATGATGTCTCTATCACAGATCGATAGAAAGAGTTATTAAGATTACATTGCCGAGCAGATCCTGAGACTGTTATAACTCTGCACTTTACTGTAAAGACAGCTCTTTAGATATAGGCTAATAAACTAAAAGGGCACAGAGAGAGTGCAGACCTCCACCAAGCCCAGCGTCAAACAACATACATCAGACTTCAGAGAATAAAATTCTAATTCCTAGTAAATGATCCAGATCTGCCCCAAAATGTAATAGGTTCGTCCCTGGTCCAAGCCCCATCCCTGCACCAAGTTCAGTTCAAATTGTTTCAGTTTTTTTCTGTAATCCTGCTGTTAAAACAACAACAACTCCCCACCTGTAAGGAACGTGATAGAAAAATTCCTGGTTCTTCCCCTTTAACCAGATCAGCATTAAAATTTAATGGGTTCTTCAGAGGCCCATTCCCCATCCTTCCACAAAGATTATAAACTAATTGATAATTAAAATTAATAATTGTTGACGTGTGACGAAACGCAGCTTCTCTGTGGGCCTATTTTTGTTCAGCTCTGGTATGGACACTTGAGAAGCAAATCAAAATCTGACAGTTTTGCCAGTTAATATAATTGCTATACTATGGTGGAAACAGAAGCTATATGGATTTTGTGGTAGTATTTGTAACATTTCAGTAGTCTTTGATGAATATTGTAATGTTCAAATAATGTTCAACAATGTATACACAAATATTCCACTATAATTACTAAACCATTTGATGGTTAGATTTAAGTTTAGGGTGACGGTTGAGGTTAGCAAATCAGTTCAATCCCAACCAATAACCTGTTGAAATGTTACAAATACTCAGTAAAACATCTGTTGGTGGACTATCTAAATAAAGTGTTACCTATGACTTTGTTATTTAACTATATAAACATAAACGGAGCAATGGATGTTGAGTTAGCAGTGTTCATAGTTTAGAATGAGTGGGAATTATGCTAATCTGACTAGCTAATGCTGTTTAGATAACATAGTGATTAGTTTTATGCTATAGTTTTTATTTATTTATTTTAGTTTTATTATAGATGTTGTTTAATCTGTTATTTTTGTAAAATGTTATTTAAAATCTTTCCAGTTAACAGCATTGAGTGTCAGAGGTGACTCTTTTATTCTTCTGCCGAAATTAGCAAGCTAGTAGCAAGCTAACATTAGCTTTGCCAGCTGATTACAGTTACCTGGTATGTACTGGGTGTAAAAAGCAATATCGATGGATTTTAGTTATCCATAGATATTAGGTAATATGTCTGTCAACATTATTCTAGTGTAATCTATTTTAATTTAATATTACATAAACCATAACTTAATATGTTGAAACTAGGCTAGGCTCCTGGTTATGGTTAAAATAATAAAATAATATAAAATAAGTCAACAACAATTAGCAATTTATTTTTGCTTCAATCCACAGATATTACAAACATGCAAGAGACCAATTCTACATGACGGCGGGAATGTTTGTAGTTTTGTGGTGTAATGTGACATTTCTTTTTTTTTTTTGTTTATTCTGACAGCAATATATATACAGTATATTGTAGTTCAGTCTCACTTGATTTCTACTTAACCTCTAAAATTAATGAATCACATTTGTGTTAGGTTCTTAAATAGATGTTAAAATATTATATGATGCTCCCTGAGCCATGTGATCATTTAGCCATCATTATTCAGACGCTTAGTCATGTACATGTACTATGAGGCTGGTCATGCTGCGCATACACAGTTTGACCTAATTAGATATAGTGAAGTGATTTAAGGCAGACAGATATAATAAGTCACAGGAGGTTATACACAACAGAGAAATACACAGAAGCACATAAACTGTCCAAAACTCACATGGTGTGTTTGTCTTTCTAGCTGCTGCAAACACACATTACTTCAGCGACCCTGTCGTCTATGAGTTAAATTCATATCTACTTAATCTGCGTTAATGATTGATGTTGTCTGGCAGCATTCAGTGCCAAAGAATGAAGCAGAGAGTTTAATACAGTGCTGTGAAACGTGAGGGTCAAAACGGTGGATGAGTATCTAAAATATAGACATGATCCAGGTTTAATTCACATGCCGTACTGTAGGTCAGTGTTGATATTTTTAATACTTAAGTTATTGCATTCCACTTTTCTTTAGTTAGGTCTCTAAATCTCAAACACAGAAACAAAAATGATCAGCAGCATAGCCCTTATAGCATATAATTTACATGAATTAAGTTTTTCATCTAACCATGACCCACATGTGTCTTTAGATTGCAAAACATCAACCTGATTAGATCTCTTTTCTGGACTGTGTGGCTGTGATCGACATCTCTGAGATTCTCCTATTAAATATGTTGCGCCTGTTACATGGAGTTTGGTGACCTGATGTAACTTTTAGCATAGCTCCTCCCATCTTTAACCTGAGCAGAGGTCTAATCAGCCAGACTAACTGAAAACACCTGTGTTTAACTTTCCCCAGAGCACCTGACCATGCTTCAGTTGCATCATGCAGATGTTGTAAAAATAAAATGTAGATTGCAATTTGCACATTCTGTCTGATTTGATGGTTGTTGGTAAATGTTTATCTGAGAGTATATATAGTGGCTTTAAGTTTTCTTGAAGAAAAAAGCCGCACGTTAGTGACATTGAATGTTAGATCGCTTCTGGCTACAGTGGCAAACAGAAATAGACATAGATTTTTGTGTGAACTGGTGTTGGTGCCAACACTGGTTGATTTCCAGAACTTACATATTGTAGCTTAAAATGATCCCCTAGCGTGGTTCAAGATATAAGATACAAGTTGTTACAGTTAACGTGTTAGCAAACAACCAACACATATGAGGCAACTCGGTCATTCATTTGGAGATGTGTTTCTGTCCATCCAATGAAGTCCAATATTCACTCTGTTTTTAGCTTAGTCTGCACCAACTCCTGAGAAAAACATTTGGCTAATAAACATTTCACTTTCTTCACCAGCTATTCGCTAACTTTGTTCGTCTGCCGCTGGGTGTCGGACGAGTGTATTTATCAGAGCAGTTTTGAGGACAGCAGTACGCTGTGTGCTCAGACTGAACACAAACAGTTGAGTTAGTGTTGAGAAGAGCAAGATAGTGAATCATACTGAAACACTCAGAGATGATAGATTGTTGATATAAAAATGATTGTGAGTGCAGCTTTAAAGCCGAAAACTGATGCTAGTTCTTACTCCTAATGTATTATGGATGTAAAAAGCAGACAAATATTTTTACTTCCAAACCCGTTATTATGAATAAACTGGTGTCTACTAACGAATATTTTAATATTGAATAAAAGCTACATTCAAACAATAGTGGTCTGAAGACTGATCAATTCAACCATTTTTTCTTTTTACTGCATTTGAATTCACCGTATCGTTGCAGTAATGGTGCCGTTGCTGAGAGTGTAGCACATAAATCATCCAGCAGATCTGTGGCTACAGAGAGTGCATCGACACTCGTTCCAGACGATGCCCCAGAACTACTTTGTCTCTATTACTCTAGTAAATCTTCAGTGCGTGAATCCCAAGCAGGGGCTATTGACGTCAACGTGTAAACGCTCAACTGCTCCCCTGCTACACCTCATAAAGCTGTGACGTGACGTCTCCCGGACTGACGCCAACACAGACGCAAGATAGTCTTCTTAGCAAACACCTACTTCCATCACAGCCCCTCCCCCTCCTGATTCCCAGCATCTGCCGAGCATTGTGGAGTTGTCAGAGGGGGCTGCGAACAGGGCATCCCTAGACGTGACCTCCCTGTCTGAAGTCAAAGCTCTGGGATTCCTGGCTGTCGTTGTGATCTCTGGCCTCGACTGTAGCTACTGGAGAGCACAAGTATAAACAGTCCTCTCTGTGTATCTGTCTGTGGTTCTTAACTGATGGGAGTAAAGCCTGGCATGGTCACAGCGTGAAAAGTGCACGTCTGACAGGCTTTCCTGCAAGAATAATGCCCCTCCTCTGGGTCAGTTAGCATGGGGAGAGTGCCAGCAGCTCTGAAATGGTTTGTTTAATTGGTCGAGTGTTTAAACAGATCCAAGAGCTCTGACCTCTCCCACACTGTGGTGTGAACCGCACGGTGAAGCTAATGAAGCAGCTTCTTCCATTTTACCTTTGGGTCCTTCCTCTCTGGTCTGATGTAATCTTCAGTCACTTGACTCCCTCTTCCTCTCTCTCTTTGCGTTGTGTGTGTTTCTGTGTGTGTGTGTGTGTGTGTGTGTATGTGTGTGCGCTCCAGGTTTCGAGCCAACAGGTCCCCTCTAACTGTGTGATCAAGAGGGAGCAGGAGAAATGCATGGAAATGATGGCTTCAGATGATCCTGGGAATGATCCAGAGTTTGGTACGTCTGTGTTTGTTTAGCCTTTAATCCCTTTCCCACGTACTAACCACTATTTTGTTGGTGTTTTAACAGTTTTCAACATGTGCAAATAAAAAAAAAAGAAAAAGAAAAAAAAAGAAGAAACTCAGAGATTAATAACCAGAACATCTGCAGGGCCTCCAAACTAATGAGCAGGAGGTAATTCTACAAATTGTAGTTGACTCTAACCTGCTTGTCTGCAAACAGAGATCATTAGAAAGACTTCACAGTTTGCCCATGTGTGCATCTCTGCTTGATCTGTAGCACAAAAAAAAAAAATTACAGAAATTCAACGTTTCGCTCTTTGCTTCTGTTTCCAGACACGCCAGAGGCTTTAATAGGCAGCATCTCATGATGATGATGATGCTGAAAATGAAAGTTGAGCCTTGAGACAGTGAGTGACGGGCATCTGTCTGGCTGATTAGATGATGGATGAGGCTAAGAAATGTTTTGTGCCTATTCTCCATCTTGACCCTGTTGATTTAGTTTCAACAAAAGCACCAGCTACGACTACTACATATCTCCCCCTGATGATTTCTACTCATGTTAACATAGCGGAAAGCGCCTTACTTATCACCGACATCAAACCTAAGACCCTGTTTTTTAAAGGTCCCATATAGTATAAAGGTAGATGTCAATGTGTTGTTTAATTATAAAGCAGGTCTAGTTCTATATTAATACTGTGAAAGTATCAAAGCCTCAGTCCACAGAGAAATGCAAACAGCCTGTATTCAGAAACTGAGCCTTAAAACCAGCTGTCAGGACTTTTGGGACTTTGTGATGTCACAACAAAGCAGTCACCGTCCTCAGCTATGCCCCAGGCCCCTCAGAAAGAAGTCAGCCAAGCATAAGCAAGACTCAGAGCCTCCTCTCTTCTGATTGGCTCACCGACCTGTTGTTACTAGAGCTCCAGAAAGAAGCCTGAGAGAGGAGATGTAAAACTACACTGAGATGGTTTTTGGTTCTTTAAACAACAAATATATCTTCTTACGGATCAACACAGGAAAGAGGAGAATATGGAGCTTTAAAGTCAGTTTTTGATTACATCATGTCATGTAATGTTAGGTCAAAACCTAATATAAGGCTGGACTGTGTCGTGTTTACATTCAGCCTAGTATCAGCTGGTTTCAGCTCTTAATCTGTTTGCTTCTTTCCTCCTCTCTGTTCACATACATTGTGTTTTAATACAGCTAAATTCCCCATAAAGCTGATCTCATTTACAAATTTTTCTGTTTGTCTTGTCAGACAACAGAAGAAGTAACCAGCAGCCATTTCTAAGCTGCTGATCTGCTGCTAACATCCTGATTTTTCTTCTTCAGACAAAATCACCCAACACATCAGTTAAAGACAAAGACTATGCCGTGATTTCACCTGTATTTACTGTAAAATGATTTTTTTTTCCAGATGGTTGAAAGGAGTCCATTACTAATGAATGATACTGATGTAATGTTACTTGAATTATAAATGCTTCCCAATAAGTATGTTACTGTCTTCAAAACAATCTGTATCTGCAAAGGCTTTCAGGTGACAAGCCCATTTCTTGTACATCTCTCGTCCTCCGACCATATCTGCTGATTACACTATGAAAATACATCAGCTGTCTGGAGAGTACATTATATTGTGAGAGTGTGTAGCTTGGACTGATTGTATCAGTACAGTAGTTTGTGGGGCAGTATACCTGCACAGCTAATCATCTCCATCGTTTTGAGGATGAAATTTACGCTGTAAGTCGAATATTGTCTGTAAAGCAGAGCTGGTTAAGTGAGTCACATTCTAAAGTTTAAATCAGACCTGTTCTCTTTCAGCAGCACTGATGCAAACCCACATGGCTGTAATGCTTTCTTAAATATCTTTCATGAAGCCAGTGAATTTAGCAACAAAAAGTACAGTACAACAACCAGTCAAACATAAAAATGTTTAAGTCATTCCTGGCTTAAACTGATGCTTTTACAAACCTGAGATTAAAATAAACACCAGTACATTCTGTTTTAGCAACACGTAGGATTAAAAAGAAAAGACACTCGTTCAAAATAGCTGCTGGCATGAGAACTTCCATTTCAGGTCCCATATGAGCATTTCAAGGATCTGTGATTTTGATGTGGTGATAAATGAGTTGCAGGTGGTCCTTTTTTTTTTTTTTTTTCTTCCCTAAATTTGAACATATGGCTTGTTAGAGTGAAACAATGAGTTTGTCTACCTGTTGTGTCCTCAGGTTGTCCGTGGTTGTGGGACAACCTGACGTGTTGGCAGCCGGCCAGGATGGGCGAGGTTGTCGAGGTCAACTGTCCCGAGCTCTTCTCTCAGTTCATGAGTGAAGAAGACTTCGGTCAGTGTCTAAACATTTCTGAGTCACAGTTACCATCAGCAGTTATTCCAGTTGATGTCATTGGACTTCTGAGTTTGTTATTGTGGTGTATAACGTCCAAGATTCATGTCTAATGGAAGAATCACGCAAGAATCGCACATAAAGGGTAAAACGTAAAAAGGTAAAACTTGTGTTTTTTAGGTTAAGGTTGGATATAAAGGGAATGTGATATCTCCATGAGAGTCCTCACGATTATGTGTGTGGGTGTTTGTTTATGTGAGGAATGCATTTACACGGCTTCCTATTGACAATAAATGCTGATTACAGAGTAAATATTCAACCAAACAACCTGAACATATGCATGAAAATGGAGGTAAAATACCAATATCCTGTATATGTTTGATATTATAGTCTTAACCGTTCAGCATAAGCTTGTCATATACGTCTCTTGACTCCAGTTATCTCTGAAATAATTAATGCCAGGTCTGCTTCTCTTCCTGATTGCACTCTTGAGATAAGTCTGCATGTTTGTCTGCGTTTGCTATAATCAAATGAAGTGCCGTGTCTCCACAGAGCTGGGGAAGGTGAGTCGTAACTGCACCGAGTTCGGCTGGTCGGAGGCCTTCCCTCACTACATCGACGCCTGCCTGTACGAGGAGGGAAACAGCAGCCACCCGGTCAGTGCGCCGCTACTCAGTAAAACCTTTCTCAAGTCTGTTTGTTAATTCCAAAAATACAGAAAGATAATTCAGCTGTGTGAATGAACACGAGTCACAGCTGCTGTTGTGCTTGTGTGTCACATGCAGGATATGTATTATGTGTCGGTGAAGGCTCTGTACACTGTGGGCTACAGCACCTCTCTGGTCTCTCTCACCACAGCCATGGTCATCCTGTGCAGGTTCAGGTGAGACATTTGATGCAAGAACAGAAAAACTGAAAAAATAAACTTAAGTGTAGTGCTCAGGTAAATGTACTTTGTTGCTGTCCACCCCTGCTAATAGGACCACTACTACAAGGCCTACTGTTATTTCTACTACCTCTGCTAATAGTACTGCTGCGCTACTGCTGCTGCTGGTTCTACTAGTACTAGAAGTATTAGTATCATTACGACTTCTACTCCCGCAGCTGCTTCCACTGCTATACGTGTTAACAAATGATGAGCAAAGCTGTGCGGCAGAGGATCGTGGGTCTTTTTGTCAAACAGGTAACATGATATTCAATGTGTTCATGTCTGTTTCTGCACAGGAAGCTGCACTGCACCAGGAACTTCATCCACATGAACCTATTTGTGTCGTTCATCCTGAGAGCTATTTCTGTCTTCATCAAAGACGGCGTGTTGTACGCCACAGAGGACAGCGAGCACTGCTTCATACACACTGTGAGTAACTCGGACGCACCTGTGCACGCGTTCAGGCGTTAACAAGCAGTCATTGGTGTTCAAATACAATGTTCTCATGTTTTTCCTTTCGTCATCTCTTTGTCTCTCGTGTCCTTGAAGCTGGAGTGTCGAGCGGTGATGATATTCTTCCACTACTGCGTCCTCTCCAACTACTTCTGGCTCTTCATCGAGGGCCTGTACCTCTTCACTTTACTGGTGGAGACCTTCTTCCCTGAGAAGAGATACTTCTACTGGTACATCATCATTGGCTGGGGTGAGACATCAAACACATCACACAAACGTAATTGATTCTCGTCTTGATGTTCCAGATCGAATGCATCTTTGTTGTCCTGTTCCAATCAGGGACCCCCACCGTGTGCGTGACCATCTGGGCGGTGCTGAGGCTGCATTTTGATGATATCGGGTGGGTTATCAGCAGCAGACTTTTAGTCTCATGTTGAAGGTTGTGTGTTCATGTTGCTGACTGTGTGGTTTTGTCTCTCTCAGCTGTTGGGACATGAATGACAACGCTGCCATCTGGTGGGTGATAAAAGGACCTGTGCTGGCTTCCATCATGGTGCGTTTTCAGTCTGTTTCACAAACTGGGACATAAGAACATCACCGCCTTTACCAAGGATGTTTTTATTATTTAATGCATTTCCTTTCCATTACCTTCTATTTTTTTCTTTGCTGCAGATCAACTTTGTTCTCTTCATCGGCATCATCGTCATCCTCGTGCAGAAGTTACAGTCCCCAGATATTGGAGGAAATGAATCCAGTATTTACCTGTGAGTAATATTTGTGAGAAGAAATTACACAATCTTTCTCCTACATGTGAAAAGTTGAATTCACAAGCACTAAAATGCATCGTTGTTCAAATTTGCCCAAATCACCTGCTGGAGGAGAAGGGAGGGCGGAGCAGGGCATACCAACACACACTCACACACTGTGTGAGTGTGGCATGTCATACAATGCAAATGGTTCCCTGTTTGTGATCCCCACAAAGGCTCTCGAAGGACGTTTTCACACCTAAAGTTGGTTTGCTCTGGTCTGATTCAGTTGAGCTTGTAAGCTTGTAGCTTTTTCCCCTTGGTTTGGTTTGTTTTCACACAGAGAAGAATTCAAGTGAACCAAAATGCATCACTACAAACCAGGTGAGAGCGTTCCCTCCTCTGATTGGTCAGATTGTCTGGCTGGAGCAGGAAAGGAAGCACAGGACGGTTTCAGGAACCATCTAGCTCAAATTTATGAGTTCACCTGCTAGTGGGGTCGGATCGAGTTCAGAACTCCTTCTCACCCAAAACGAACCGCTCCAGAGTTTGTTTGGGACCAGACCAAGACCTCCTCCTCTAAAGGGTCTCAGTGCGATTGGTTTGGTCTGCACCCGAGTGTGATTACTGTTTTCACACCTGCCCAAACGAACTGTACCAAGAGGGAAAACGAACCAGGGTTTGGTTTAACTGGACTAAACAGTGACTAAAAAGAGGTCCAACATCACCAAAGAGAGTCAAGTAGTTGCAGCAAACAACAGAGGTCTGATGGACTACACAAAATGAACAGACAGAAGTGAAGCTGCTGAGGTGAAGATGTAAAACATGGTTCAACATCATTTCAACAACATCAACAGATTTTCTTTCTACATTATCCTTCATCAATAATCTTTTGGTGTGTCAGGTAGTAGATCTTTATTATCTCTGATCTCTGTGACCAAACTCACATTCAGTTGTATATCAAACTGAACAATGTGCTCCCAAACTACAGCTCATGTTTAAGCCCATTATTAAGTCAGAATATTGTCATCATACCTGTGTTCAGATTATAATGAGGACACACACTGTACACTGTTGTCTAGTCCTCTCACAATAACTTGTGAGTGTGTGTGTGTGTGTGTTTGTGTGTGTGTTGTTTTGTAGGAGGTTGGCCCGCTCTACTCTGCTGCTGATTCCTCTGTTCGGGATTCACTACACTGTGTTCGCCTTCTCCCCTGAGAACTTCAGCAAGAGAGAGCGTCTGGTGTTTGAGCTCGGACTCGGATCTTTCCAGGTGACTCCGTGTTTCTCCATCGTGGATTAGATTTAGGAAAAAATTGCTACTTCCATACATTCATACAGAGTTAAATAACAACCTAACGTTACATTTTAATTCAAGAATGAGGAGATTAACACGACTATAAATTTGAGGTTTGGGACGTGGATCTATTGTAAAGCACACAGTGAGAACTGGGCAGTCACGTTGTGACCAAGTAAAATTATAAAACAGAGTAACACCTTGACTGCGAGGCCGTGCTCAGTGTCACACCTTCAACATTTTATTTTTCAGTCTGTGTATGGAGAGGACTTTGATCATAGTGAGGCAAACAACACATTACAGATCATATGTTGAACAATTATGCAACAAAAAAACCAAACCAAACAGCTCCACCTTATCATTTGTGCACCTGCACTAATGGCTGTAGATTGAAAAGGATGAACGTAAACGCCCGGTTTGAATTCACTACTCTTACTTTGTGTTTCATCCGACAGCTACCTTTTCGTAAAAACAGATAAGTCGGTGTTTCTGTCTCACACTCTGACCCTCTGTCTGTCTCTGCAGGGCTTTGTGGTTGCCGTCCTCTACTGCTTCCTGAACGGAGAGGTAAATCTCCTTTAAGACATGTAACTGACACTGTTCTCATAGAGTCTTCTACATGCACAATTTAATTAGATATATACAGAACAACATCACTGATCAACAGCAAACGCATGAGGAATAGTTGAAGAAGTACAGTATGAATCAGGCTCATTATTTTCAGTTTCTAGATTCAAACAAACACATTTCTTTTCCAATTAATTAAAGGTTCTGTAAACGATCGTCACCGCCACTAGACGTTGCACTACACCACCAGCATCTCAGTCTAAAACAAACGGTTCGTCAGCCGAACCCCCGGCCTCCGCTTGGCCACAACCCAAGCCAACAAAAAAAAACAAAAAAACAATCTCGCCACAACCATTAGCCGTCACTAATGAAAACAGACATGTAGCATTAAGTAGCATCAAGTTACTGACACATTGAGGAGAAGAAAAGGCAGTTCTGGGTCAATCTGGACCCTTAAGCTGCTTGTGGGTCTCTCCGTCTCGGTAAAACCAGACCAGTATTGGCTCCACAGTTGGGACTGGGAAAAAAAAATCTGCCTTGGACTTATCCGCTGGGACCGGCTGCACGAACGACACTGACGGAGCCTGACGGTAAAGACTTCATGGACGTTTTGACGGTCCACCAGCTAACTGGGATTCGAGCCGATAGTCACAGCGGCCGGTCCGCCTGTGCTCTGGTGTCTTTCTTCGTCAGAGGCCTTTTTAGATGAAAATGTGGTCACTTCAGTGGAGGAAATTCTTGCAGGTCGCTCTCTCACCTGAGCGCTGACCGGCTACCTGAACAAAGAACAGAGACGCTCAGATTACATCACACACAGAAGGGGTGTTTACTTCGTTCTCTGCTCAGGACACCGTGACTACACTATATCTTTACATAGAAAATAGTTGTTTGCTGCTATAATATTGTTTAAAATCACGTTTACAGAACCTTTAAAAGTAATGAAGCAAAAAACATTTTAGACAATTTTTTTACTTAGCTTCTTGAAATAGAAACTACAAATGTTTGAGTATGTGGGGGCATAAAATCCAGGTAAAAACTGGTTTAAACCAACATGTTCCCTTTAAGAAAGTAGTAAAAACTGACAACAATGAGCTTTAAGTCGAGTACAGACAGAACTGTAGTGAGACAGAGGGACAGTCAGCTTGTCTCTTTCCAGCGAGGTCCATTAATAATGACCTTGTGAAGTATATCCCTCAAGGTGCAATCGGAGATCAAGAGGAAATGGCGCAGCTGGACGGTGAACAGGTACTTTGCTGTGGACCTGAAGCACCGGCATCCTTCGCTGGCGAGCAGTGGGGTGAACGGGGGAACGCAGCTGTCCATCCTAAGCAAGAGCAGCTCGCAGATCCGCATGTCCAGCCTGCAGGCCGAGACCCCGGCCACCTGAGCGGCACCGCCGTAGACGCCGCGTCCGCTACGGGACCCGACACCGCCGCCAAAACCACCGCCGCCGCCACCACCAACAACACGCCCACCCTCGTCCCGATGACCAGCCTCAACAACCCGTTCCTCAACCCGTACCCCAACCCGTACCCGGACGAAACCATGATGGAAACCCAGCTCAACTCCACCGATCCAGAGCAGCCTCTCGTCTGACCTGCTTCCCCTTTGAAAACACGACCAAACCTGAATGTCGCCAATTATTCTCTTGAATCTCTACATGTCCTGACCTTTGACCTGGTTCAGGTGCAGCTGGAGTGAAAACAAACTAAGCCTAACATTTTTCTAAAGGCATGAATAAGGAGTCTAGTGTGTATCTAGTGCATCATTGAGCTGAAACATGCAGAAGAAGCATGGTTATCTATGTATATATTGAGTCAGTGTTACAGTCGTCTGGTGCTACAGTATCTGCTGCTGTCCAGCACAGGGGGGCCAGTGTGTTACCCTGCAGTGTGTGTCCTCTCACAGTGATCATTCCAGTCTGTCTGAGGAAGGTTTCACGCTCTGTCCTCAAAAGGTGTTTTAAACCACAACCACACACTATATTCCTCCGTTACATACATGTGTCGCAGCTGCTGTGCCGTGAAATGGCTTCATTTAAAACACACACCGGTGGCTCTCATGTAAATAACTTAAAGGGGCACTCCACTGTTTTTACATGTAAAGATCTGCTGCTGCTCAGCCTTTGTGAACAGCTGTATAATGTTTTTCTGTGGCTTTGGCGGAGGTGGAAACAACCCGTGTTACAAACTGAGGGCGTGTGGGGTTTTAAAGATGTTGACCAGGCAAACGAGCACTATGGGAAATGTAGTATTACGTGTTTTTTGAAGCTTCTAGGAACTAAAATTCAGGATATCTTGACCGCTGCTGCTTGAACTTTTGACCAGTCTGCTTTTTAATCCGACTCCGTTGGGTCCACTTGATTTTATAAAGGTGCAGGACTAAAACACTGGAGTGACCCTTTAAGCGAGGTGAGAAACTGGGCACCCTGATGTACAGTAGTACCTTAAATGAGTGTTTCTGACTGAGGTAAACACATCACACCCAGACCTGCCAACTACATCATGTCTAAATTACTGCAGTGCTCTTCATGTACAAACAGTGACTGTGTATGAAAGCTCAGTGTTACTGGCACAAGCCTTCATTTCCTGTGTAAACTGTGACTGATGTAAAACAATATAATGTACGTGGAAGAGGACCAGATTGAGGAGAAACTTCAGCTGGATCCAGCAGGTGATAAACTTGGGGTAACAGTATTTATCGGAAGGACATATTTTCTACAGTTATGTGAAATGCCAAAAAAAAAAAAGAGTAGAAAAAAAAAAGGTTTAGATGCTCGACTCAAAAGTGTCTTCTTCGGATGTACGTGCAGCTCTGAGGTTTGCAGACGACGACCACAATCACAAACCTCTTTTTTTTTTTCTTTCTTTTTTTTTTTTTTTTTTTTTTAATCTCTAGCGCTGACACGAGATGTCAGAGAAGAAGAACACGCCTCGGAGGTCTGTGCGTCTGTAGTTTTAAACAGCCGTTAGTACAGAAAATGTCAAATGAAAAACGAATTCATGACTGAAGCACCATGAGTTCAACTGCTTGCATGAAATTTCATTTATTGTACATGTGGTATTGTTTACGTTTCCTTTTCTTTCTTTTTTCGTGGGAATTCAGTGTTTTTAATTGGATGTTAAATTTTTTAACAATTTCTTTTTTTTTTTTCATAAACTTTTTAACTGTTTAACTAAAAGGCTGTTGCAAAGGCGACGCGCTGTAATACTGATTTTATTGCCTCTTCAACAGCCTCCTGCAGGAAGTTTCAACATTGTACTGGTCTAAGTGAAGGTCTAGACCATCTGAAACATCACAGCACTTCACTTATTTTAGGGATGATCATTTTTTTTCCCGACCATATGAAAAATCTGTTTTAATTTTTATTAATGAGGGTTTTCCTTTTTCAACAAACTCCTCATGCCACCATGCAGCATCTCTGTATTTCCGCTGGTGGTGTTCGCTCTCCTTAAGCTTGAAAACAAGCACACTGAGATGGATGTGACTTCTGGAGAGTGACTTTTAACTTAACTCGGGGGGTAATTCTCTCACTCCAAAGACGAATTAATCGACTCCTCACTGAGTTTGTATTTTATTTGCACGGCCGTATCTGTTTGCAAAGGCTGAGTTGGCTTTGCAACTGATGTCACTGCAGATTTTTCCTTTGGTCTGACTCAACTCTCCTCTGAATCCCTGAAAACTTTGTGTCTCCAAAAGTGCCTTTAAGCACAAAACAAGTATTTTGACTTCTGTTGATGATTTAAAAGAAAAGAAAATTTGTCTTTTCAGTTAAAAAAAAAAACGAAACTGCAAAGTGAAGAAAAGGGTTTAACAAAGTGCTTTTATGATGCTTAAGACTAAATCAGTATTTCAAACCTGGAGGCCTTCAAAGTACTTTAACTCGTCTTTGTGAAAGATGAGCACAACATACGATCGATTAGTGTTTTTAATAAAGCAGTGCTACAGTATATTAACTCAGTATGTACAGTACACTATCACATGCACACAGTGATGAATATGTTTTAATTTCCTTGTTTTACAGACAACAACCTTTATCTTCTCTACAGCAGGAAAATGGGGAATTACCAGACTGTAAAAAGTCTCATTAACCTGAACCACAGGTGCATTTTCTTTATGATATTCTTCAAAATATGAAACAGTTTTCTACTTCAAAGGGGCTTTATTCTAAATGTCCAATAGATTTGACGATTTCTGCAAGGACAGAAATAATTTGGTCAAACGGCAGATGTCTGAATTTAACCGTCTGAAACTGGAACTGCAAAACTCCAAAACAAGAAATAAGTGAATTCTTTGACCAATAGATATTTGCCATTTCTTTTATGAGTGCACATTATTTATGATAATAATAATAATAATAATAATAATAATAATAATAATAATAATAATAGAAAAGCACATCTCCTCAGTTCAGTATTATAATGTAGTTAAACGTTGAGTTATCTCCTCATTAGCTGTTTGAACACAGTCACACAATAAATATTTTTTTGTTAATTTGCAGGCAAAAGTAGTATGGAGTCCTGAAACTGACAAAAAGTCTTTAAACAATAGTAATAATTTATTTCTTTAAAATAAATAAAACAATTAAATTGATTGTTTAAATTCTTTTATTAAGTGATTGGATTTTACACTCTATTATAATTAAACAATATTCCTTACCCATATTTAGAAATACTAGGAAAAGGAGACCCCAGGAAAACCCACTAAATGTTTGCAACAAGAAAAAAATCAGAATCATTTTCAGATTATTTATTTATTTTTTACATTTGCATTCTTACATTCTTCTTTTAACTGTCCTGTTACAGATTCTATCTCCCTCATTTATCTTCTCGACACTGCCAGGAATTTAATGTTGATGGAAAATTACTAAATCCTTTTCATTCATTGAACTTTAATTTCACCTTCATTTTTTTCTTGTTTTACAGAAACAGCCTAATTTTAAATATCAAACTGCCAAATTCAAATGATACTTGATATCCTCAACAACAGCCCTGCATCAAGATTAAAACTGAACGAAATTTGGTTGGAAAATGAATGTTTTACACGCAATGAGACAGAAAGCATCATTCTTGACCTTTGTCGAGAATGATGCTTTCTGTCTATTTATTAGCTTATCAGCAGATGGGTTTTACCAAATTGTCATAGGACTTCCATGTCGTCCTATAATAATCCTGTTTAATCTTCCTTTAAGCCAACATGGACGTGCAAAGTGCTCAGAAAAATTGACTTCAATTGAATTCAAAAATTCTGCAGCATCCGCATCAACAGCAAAACACTGTGTATTACCATCCAGAGCTACAACGATTTGGCAATTAATCGATTAATTGAATTAATTGGTTTGGTCTTTTCTTTTCTTCAAGATAAAAGGTCACCCATTGGATAGTTCCAGCTCCTGCTGCTTGTGATGAACTGAATATCTTTGGATTTTGGGCTTATAGACCAAACAATTAATTGATTAACAACTACTAATGGACCTTGTGGTTGTTTTTTGTCTACATAGCATTTTATTGAATTTATTTTAAGCTGGTAAAATTGAAATATTGTCACTGAAATTACATGGAAGAAATGTTTATATAGATCTTCAAAAAAAAACAACTTTTCAACCAGATTTGGTCCATTTTTAACCTCGGTGTACAGACGTCTTTTGACCTGCAGATAGATCCAGATCCGTGTTTTCTGTGAGTTCAGACCACGCAAAGGCAAAGAGAGAAAAAGAAGGGCTGACCGCAAACTGTTTTCAGTCTGACCTGCAATAATACCAGTGCAGTTCCAACAGCAGCCATAGGGGGGCCCTGTCTTATCGTCTGATGTTCAGAGAGGGTGGGGTGGGGGGGGTAGTAAAGGGCTGGACAATCAGCGCCTCTGCTCTGGTTCAGTTGAATGTTCAGTCAACGTTCATCACAGACATTAAGACAATCTCACCACGTCATGAGCCTGATTCTGTTGATGTGTTCATAGATTATTTCCTTTAGTGTCAATACGGGAGTTGGAGCCTTATATTGCCAGTACTCTGTTGATGTCAGACAAAGAAGTTGCTATTATTATAAGAATAAATATTCATTTGAACCTGTTGTTTTGAACTATGAAGTAGTTAGTTGAAGTGTTTGAAAGGTCTGTAGCCAACCTTTGTGACTAAATAAACTGCAGTTTAAATGTGCGAGACAGAAACAAGCTGCCAATGTCGTACCTTGTAAATGGAGTTTTCTGTGGTTCAAAGTGAATAGCTGTCATTTAAAAAAAACTTTGCGCTGTGATTGTTCTCATATTTTTATTATTATTTGATTTTTTTCTTAAATGGTGATTGTGTTTGCTAAAAGTATAAAGCCTCCTGTAATGCCTCTGTACTCTCTAATAGGCTGATGCATGCGTGTTAAATCGTTTTGATCTCATTTGAACCGGCAGACGTAATCACAAGGGAGGGTCGAGCTTTCTGGCCATTAGGAGAATCTCAGCTGTGTCCTTGTTTTTTGAATCCACTGTAACGAGTGGATGAGGCAATTAATAAAGCTAGAACACAGATATTGGGTTTCAACTGTGAACGATTTATCTAATTGTAGCTCGAGTCCCATCAGGACCCATCCAATACTTTTCCTTTGAATGTTAATTTTCCCAAACAGGAGGAAAAGAAAAGTGCCATAAAAGAACTGCTTTTCTGTTTTTTACTGTGCAGCATGACATGAGAATTGGTTTAAAATGTTTTTCTTTTTAGCTTTTTGATGGTGGTTATCTTTATTGAATTGCTTCATTATACCAATTGCCTGTTTAGACCATTTACAGGTTAAGAAAAAAAAAATGGGGTGGGGGTATTCGGCAGTTTGTGTACTGATGGCTGAATGTAAAAGTACCTTAAAGCACTCTGCTGTGAGCCTGCTTCTGTCTGCTCATGAGCCCTTCTTTGATCTATTTCACTGCACAGTGCACCATTTTATTTAGTTTGGTGTGTGTGAAGGGTTTTTTGTACATTATCAACAATAAATGTTTCTAACTTGTTGGCTCACTGATGTGTGTTAATATTTGGACATCTTTTATGAGGCTGGTCTCATTCTGTGTTTTTTGTTATTGTCAATCAGCCCCATGAAAAGATCAAAACCATTTGTCACTACTCTGACGAAGATATAAACCTTTAAAAAGAAGGTCACAAATACAAAGTTTCAATTTCATAAGAGGCTCAGCAATTTCCAAAAATAGGCTGGAAACTGTAGTTTTTAACAACTGTTACCCAAAACAAGAGATAATAGTGCATTTCTTTGGGACTATTTTCAGCAGTGGATGAATCCACATTTGATACTTGAGGTATACAGGAAACAGGACGGTCTATGTGGGACTGAGGCAAAATAAACGACAGTGCGTGTGTTCAAGGTAATGAACATGTCACTCACCCAATGCGATAGTCAAAGCAGCTATTTGTAAGTTTAGTTTTTGCCACATAGCTAACGTTAGCATAGCTGTTTATTTACCAGTCTAGAATAAACATTGCGAGTTAGCATCAGCCTTCATTCATTTAAACCCACAGCTGTCTCCAGTGGTGGAAAGCAACACCAATATCAACTCACATCTTTTCCTCCACTGAAGTTAGCATGCTAACCAGCTAGCCGCAGCCTGACTCGCCACCGTAGCCTCCAACCTGACGTGAAGATGTAGCTGCTCAGAGGGCATATTATAACCTCTTGGATTACAAGTTTTTGTCAAACGACAGCAGCAGACAAAACCTACAAACAGCCTCTTTTGTTGGACAAAATAATTTGAAATGTGTTTTCAATCTTCCGCTGAAAAAAGTCCCCAACAAGCACAATATTTCCTGCTGGTTGAGGAAGTTCTGCTAAAAGCTACAGTGCCCAGCTGTTTGATGTGTTTGTGAGTCTTATTAAAAGATTCATGGGTTTGGGACTGAGTGCCACAGATGGGGAAGGGAACACAGAATCCTTTAACTTTTGCCCCCAGCCCAAATAAGAAAACACCAAACCAGCAGCTTGCATTATGTCGTAAACTGGAACCTGTAAGAGAAACATTCACAATCACTTTTTCAAGTAAGAGAAGAGTAATAACATGTTCACTGTCCACACCGAAACTGTAAATAGATGTAATCTATAAAGCACAAGTCCAACCCTCATCCTTGCTGCACAATTTTAAATTTAACAAACTTTTTTTTGTCATTTAAGCAGAAACTTGAATCTGTCACAACACAGAGGCAATATGTTTTTGCTGCTCAGCAAATACTCAAGTACATGGTATAATATCACAATCTTAAATATACGATTTTGTCACATAGATTTTGAATGCAAACCTATATTGTAGGTTCAATCCACCTGAACTGCAGAGAGACAGTGAGTTATACTGTATGATAAAGGCACTGTAGCGGTCAGTAGCTGAATAATGTGGATAATATATAACTGTACATATGTATGTACAGTATTTACTTTACACACCTGCTATATGCTAACCAAAGTAAAGCACATAAACAATATGAATTCAGCTTAAAAACTTGATTTCAAAACATATTCCTCAGAGGAAACATGCTCTGGATTAGCATTAGCATTAGCACAGCAATCGGTAACTGGGCTTCACTAAACCTTTGCTAACAAACATAGACATATACATTTTAATTTTTTCCACATTTTGCAATATTATGGCAAATAAGAATAAAACGGTTTTTAAAAGTTACATGTATGATACAAAAATAATGATGATACAATAATGATAAACATAAATACCAACTTATCTATCTTAAAGTAACTTTTATCTATTATTCATGACTTTTATTTTTACAATCTGATACTGATATAAATCTGTTGGATAACTGCAACATTGTCATGAAATACATGTAAACTAGTTCAGGTCTATTTACATTCACACAAAGACGTAAAAAAAAAAAAACAATCTGACAAATAAATAGCTTTTACAGTCTAGTGCTCCAGATGTGCGCTAGTGCACTGTGCAACATGTTGCATGCAGAGCCACCGATGGTAACGTGGGCATGTTCCATTTAATAAGACAGTTTAATTTAATAGGAAATCTTTCTGTAATACAATCATTTAATGGCCAATGCCCAACGTTCAAGAAACCATGTGGCGCTGAATCAGTAACAGCAGGAACGACAAGGACGTCACGGTGAGTCCAGGCTCTAATGAACGGCACTAACACACAAGGTCAAAGTATTCAAAAAAAGTACAGATCTGTAAAGTTAAGGAGAAGTGCATACGAAGTGATTTTCCTTTAGGAACTGTGAGGATGGCATTTCAGAAACCGTACGATTAAAGGTGGGAAAGTTAACTAGACGTGAACCAACCAGTTAATCTTCATCCTTTACGTCTTTTTTACATTTAACACTAAACTATACGTTTTGGAAACATTTGCAATAAAACAAAAATCTTATTTTTATGTGGCCTGTCCAGCCTGTAACTGGCCCATTACTGCCCCCTGATGCTGGAGCACAAAAACTTTGTTTTCTTCCTCCAGCCACAAGAGGGCAGCAGTGAATAATCCATCCCACACTCTGCACAAAGCTGCACAAAGATGAGATTTATAGTTTATCTTAAGTGTTTTTTTACACCATGTTTTGGTTTTACAGGACAGAAGACTTCAAGCATGAGAACTAATTGGTTGGTTTGCCAAATCAGCCACGTCCCTGAGCTGTTTTAGGGGAAGTATCTGGGACTCGTAATTTTATAACACTAATGCGGGTCTGTGGTCCAGTATATTAACCTGGTTGATAATCTCTCACTTTGTACTGACTGCTCATAAAAGGTGATAAATGTTTGAAAGTGGGTGATAAACTGCACTAACATGAACCTAGCGTCACCTGTGCAGCCTGTTGCAGACAGGTAAAACAGGGTAAAATCTGCAAAAAAACAGAAATCCATATAAAATTTCTTTGAAAATGATGGTGTCTGACACTCCTGCTCTGTGTTCTCCCTCCTCTCACTATTTGACACCACAACATAATGAAAATATATTTTACTGATGCCCATTTTCATGCATTTGTTTGCTTTTATTAGCTGCGGAAAATATGAGCAAAAACAATATTTTTTCTGAAGAGGAAAGACTGAGCAAGAGAGACTCAGAGCGCCGCAGGAGGAAGTCATTTCTTACTTTCGGTTAAATCCTGTTGATTGTTTGTTATTTCTGCAAAAATAAATGAAGTGTTTTGAAGCCATATACTAACTCTGATATCAGTGATTTTGTAAGAGAGAAGAATTAATTTAGTCGTTGCCTGAAAATGTGGAGGAGGTTCCCCAAAGCAAAAATCATAGTTTTCTTTAATGATGTGAAAAAGAAACCCTCCTCATGATCTCTGAAATTTCAAATGTCATGAGTAATATGACCTCAGGTGAGTTTATTCTGTGTAGTGAATTAATAAAAGTTAGACTCAAGTTTACAGGTCTATACACTTGCAAATTTGGCGCATGAGGGATTCTGTAAAACCTTCAGTACCTGACAGAGATGACAGGAACCTCAAACATTCAACACTCTGTGCTTTAGTCTTCTGTTCAGGACGTCGTCCAGACACAAAGCAGACACTGATACACGGGACACAACGGACACAGTGTCGCAGTTGAACGTTCCTCAGACGGCGGAGACGTTGTTGGGCGTGACGGTGTGGGTGAGGGCGTGCATCTCTGAGCCCGGCTGCCCTCTGGGGCTGGACTTGTCCAGAACAGAGATCTGAGTGACCGTGCTGCTTTCAGTGAACAACGGACGCCGTTGTTTACTGTAGCTCAGGTAGCTCTGAGTCTGCCACTTCCAAAACCTCTTCTTTAGCTCCGCCTGCACCTAAACACACACACACACACACACACACACACGCAGAAACACTGAATTAAAACAAAACCTCCAGAGCCCAGATGAAATGAGGTTCGGATAAGCAGATAATAGGATTTCTGCTACAAACTACATCTATCTGACAGTGTTTCAGATTTGTTTTAACTTCCCAACTTCTCAACACAACTCTGATGAACCCACTGATGTTTTCACTTAGTTTGCCTGATTAGACTCTCAGTGCTTGATTGACATCTCCCTCACTCTTGTTTTCATTTTCCTTCACCTGTAACACCTGTGACACCTGGGACAAAACACACCATTTTTTATTAAAGTTCCTCTCCTGACATGTTTTAAACTCTGTAAAAAAATACTCTCCTGTGTCATTTTTTTAGTTTAACATGGTTTTCACACATAAAAAGTGGAAAAACTGGGTCTGAAGCTCATCTCCTCTTACTTCCTGATTGAGAAATCTGGATCAGGTCTTGAGCCCCGCCCACCACCTGCTTGCTCCAGGTGGACAGGTGAAAGAGTATCAAGATGGTTAGAGGAGGAAACATGTTTGAGCCTCAGTCAGACCCAGACTCAGATGAGGAGTCAGTTGAGACCAGAATCACCCATCTGAACCTTTAGCACAGTTAGCATCTTTTATCTGTTTATGTTGTTTGTTGGCTTGTAACTGGCAGTGGCTGGCACAGTGTTAGCAGTTGTGCTAATGCTAACTCTCTCTCTCTCTCTCTCTCTACTGACAAGGTTTCACGACACCTTTATAGAATAAAACTTGTAGTTGATTGGCTAAAACATGCAAAACCAATTGTGTGTTCTTTTAACTGCTGAATATTATTGACCAAGATATACATATTAATCATATCATATGATGAGTCTACAGATGTCATGTCGCATTTACCCACCTCCCCGTTCAGGAAACAGTAGAGCAGGGCCACAACGAATCCCTTCAGAAGAGAAACATGTTATTTAGAAAAATATCTACAAGAAAGTGTAAGACAGTGTGTCATGATGTTTCCATGAAAAACTGACATGATTTTTTGATTTGTCTCCGTGTCGTGTTTTACCTGAAAGGATCCCAGACCGAGCTCGATGAAGAGTCGGGCCTCTGCCCCCGTGTTCTCTGGCAGGAAGGCAAACACCATGTAGTGCATCCCAAACAGAGGGATGAGAAGCAAAGTGGATTTGGCCAGTCTCCTGCACACACACACACGACACAACACACCCGTGAGGTCTACATTCTTGTATGTGTGCGTATACGTGTCGTCATGTGGAGGGATATTTATATATTTACTTGAAGTGACTGGTGTCGTTGCCGCCGACACCAGGAGACCTCAGCTTCTGGACCAGAATCCGGATCACGTTGATGAAGATGATGAAGTTCACCTACATGAACCCAATGGAAAGACTTATTCTTGTCTTATACTTCTCTATGTTACGTGTTCCACAGATGCAAGTACCTGCACTAGTGCTGTATTGATTGAGTCTTTTTTTAAATAAAGAAAGTTGCCAATCAATGCCTCCGCTCCAGCACAGGGTGCTCCGTACTCAACAGATACACCATACCAAGCCAATAAACATCTGTCTGACCTGGGGGCCCTCATATCAGTGGATGGATTTGCGTGGAGTTTTGATTAGCAACCGTCCAGTCAATCATCATGCTGTTAAAACAAAACACAGATATGTCTCTGGCTCTACTAAAAGGAAACTTAAGGAAATAAAGACAGGGAGCAGAAGCCTGGAGTTGTTGCAACTGAAGGAATTGATACACATATTATTCTCACAGGTGAATAATCAGGAGAAAAAGACAAGTGCTTTTGCAACCAATGAGAGTGGACTACCAGCAAATCAAAATCAAAACCACTGAAGACTCGACCTCCGTCACTGTGGAAGAAAGAAGGAAACAACGCAACCACACAAACACCAGGGGATGGTTTCACGAAAATATATTTTGACTATGACCTTGATATAACATAAATAGGCGTCTAAATTCATCCGTTCCACAAAGCAGTTTAGTTCTTGACTATCTTTATAAATTAAGACTTCTTCAATATAAAAACAAAAGGCCAACCGAAAATGAGTCAGTCTTTTTTGATCTGACTAACATCAGACTGATCTATGAGCAAAATGAAGACTGGCCTAACAGCCTGAGATATCTTTGTAAAGGCGGATCCAGTCCTGAGGGACAAAAGACTCTTTAAGAAACTCCTTCCCTGTGTTCTGTCACCTGGTTTAACAATCACACCTCTCTGTAGCTAATTATAGCTGGTCACCTGTCAAAGATCCACAATGCAAAAAAAGGTCCAAAAAATGCTGCTCCACCTTCTGCTTGAGAAGCCCCAGCCTTTGTCAACAGGACACGGCTGCACCCTCAAAAATGACGGATGCAACGGCTGCCATTCAACCTAGCTTCAAAAGGCAGTGGCCTACTGCGGCCACAAGAGGGCAGGAAATTACAAGATCGATGCAAACAGCCTCAATCAGATCCGTCATGGGAGGGCATGGGAATGCTGTTCTTCCACTTCTCTATCGCTCTAATAGCTTTAACTATTTAACTACTACTTAGCTTCATGTGATTCTGACTCCATGATGCTGAGATCAGGGCTTTGTGGGGATCAGGACTCCTGGTTCTGGTTCTTTATGTTTGGGTTTGTTGTCCTGCCGCAGAATTAAACCGGGACAAATCAATGAAAATCTCTGACGTTATTGGGTGATGGATAAACATCAAATTGAATCTTCTTTTCTTTCTTCAAATCTAAATCTTTTACAGATTAAAAATCTGTATGTATTTAGCAGATTTTTTTAAAGAGCTGGTGCTGCTGCTGATCGACAGTGAGTGACAGCATGTGTACATGAGATGGTGCGCAGCCCTTTATTCTTTCTCCAGGTTGATAGTGGAACAAACAGAGACAAGGACCAGCGAACAAACAAATTAGTCCTGCCAAACAGAGGAGGAAAAGAGGGAAAAAACATGAATAAAAAATCAACTGTGAAACCAGGAAGCTAATGCTGCTATAATCAGGCTCTAAAACAAACAACAGTCCGCCGATTAGCTGTTTCTGTCAACCGCCAAAGATGATGCGCTTGTAGACAAATCTGCACACCGGCCAATTTTCCCAGAATCCACTCTCCTTGACTTATTATTGTGAAGACAGGATAAGAGTCTGCAGTCACAACACGGGCCTGATCCGAGATTTAGGACTCCTGTGATTCCTCAATAGCTCCCACTGTAACAGCTCTGCACTCACCAGTAGCGATGCAGTTATTGGAGCTTTTATGATCCACCAGATGAAGGCCACATCTGTGTCATCCCAGCACCTGAGACACACAACAGGCAGTAATGAGATAAACAAGGCAGCCACAGAAGTACAATATTGTACAGATGTTGTCACGAAGCACACGACACAGCCAGAACATCGTGCTGTAGCAGATCCTCATGGGCGAGTCTAAACCTAAACCCAGCATAAACTTCTATTTTTCACCTTCCATCCTTTCTGATCGCTGTGTTGTGTAATATGTTAATATATTAATGAGTATCTCTACATGTGACTTCTGTGACTTTGTGATGTCACCCATCACAGCCATGCCCAAAGCCCCGCCCCCCTGGACTCACCATCCAACGGGATTTGGTTTCTCTGAGTGTTTTACCTGAAATCTGCTATATTTTTATTGGCTCACTCAGAAAACAGTCAGCCAACCAGAAGAGAGGCTCAGAGCTTCCTCTCTTCTGATTGGCTCACCGACCTGTTGTTACTAGAGCTCCAGAGAGAAGCCTGAGAGAGGAGATGTAAAACTACATTGAGATGGTTTTTGGTTCTTAAAACCACAAATATATTTTCTTATGGATCAACACTTCAGATAAAACACAGGAGAAGAAGAAAATATGGGACCTTTAATATAAAAATGCATTTTAATATAATGGTTTCAAAAACTTTTTTTTCAAAAGTTTTGAGACCACTCTCATATCTGTTACATTTAAGGCTGCAGCCAGCAGGTGATTAGCTTAGCTTAGCTTAGCACAAAGACTGCAAACACAGGGGTACAGCTAGCCTGGCTCTGTTCAGTTTTAAAACAAAAACCACACACTAATATCTCTAAGGCTCAGTAATTAACACATTACACATGAGTGTAAAAATGGGTCTTTAGTAAGACTGCAGATGTAACTGAGCCCATCTGAAGTTCACCTAATGTGCAGACTGACCCATGTTGTGTCTGTCTGTAAAGGAACGCAATACAAACCTAGGTGTTTTCTGCTGCTGAACCTGGAATATTATTCTTCAGTTTTACCTGTGAAAAACCTCCGTGTGATTCTGTAGCAAATAATGGCATAAAAACAAGGAGCACAAATCCAGATCCTAAATATCCACAGTGCTGTTTTAGGTGACATCCTGTCCCATGTACTAGATACTGAGGTGTTTTTATGTGACATGAGCTCACCCCCTGTTATCGTAGAAGTTTCGAGTGAGGATCCAGGCTGTTATGATTGTTGTAGGGAGACCTGGGACACACAAGCACAATGACCTGATCATTAGAGTCAGTATAGAACCTTAACAAGAGACAGTTAGAGGAAGTGAGGAAGAGATCGACCTAAAGGTGAAAAGAGAAGGCACCCACCCCAGCCGATGAGTATGTACCACCAGAAGTATTTCTTCTGGAAGACGAAGGTGAGAGCGAGCAGCGTCTGCAGGTACATGCCCTCCACCAGCAGCCAGAAGTAGTTGGCGAGGATGCTGAACTGGAAGAAGGCCACGGCTGATTTACAAGACGTCTGCAAACAAACACAACAAACATCAGATCAGTCCATGTAGATCATTTATAATAGTAATGGCCTCTCACATCAGTTTATGGGTCACAGGGGGATCGATAATGAGGATATGTCTGACAGCAAAGTAGATAAATGCCTTATTTTAATTTGTCACCTTTCATATTTGAAGCAGTTAGCACTGATGTTTATGTCTGATGTTGCAGCTGAAGTGACCGTACTATTTAGGCCTATTCATCTTTATAGTTCATGTTTATAGCTTAAAGCAATGTGAGTATAGACACTTAACTGACTAAAATCAAACACTGACACAGGAGCGGTTTACGTTTCCAGTCTGATTCCAGAGGAGTTATTATATTACAATCTGTTTCATATGGTTTTATAAGATAGGGTTAGGTATTTATTTCAAACCTAACCCACAACAAGGAAGAAATTTAGCCGGTTTTGTTCCTGACTGAAACATTATGTTAGAACTACATAAATAATAATAATTAAAAAAATAGACTGCTAACAGAAGTGGGGACTCTATTGTCCTACCTGTTTAACACAAAAGTAAAAACAGCTCCTCATTTCAGGAAAAACACAGATATATACTGTATATAAAAAATATATAAAAACATAATTCTGTGAGTTGGTTGAAAACTCTTGTTTCCAGCTGATTCACCTTAAAATGAGAACTTTGTAAATTCACATAATGAGGAAGTTTAATATAACACTAAATGTCTGAAGCATAAAGTCACCACATTATGATCCATGTAGAAGAGAAGACCTGGTCCATGATAGGTTTGTGGAACTGTATTATAAGATCTACGTTATGTTAAAAGAATCTATGTCTGATATTGTAGATGTATGCAAGAACCGATGTTCCTTCTTTGCTGTTGTTTTCCTTTTCTCTAATCCAACCTCCAGTACTGAATAATTATAAAAATCTGATCACAAAAATACAAACTGTATTATAAGATGTTTTATTTGTGTGAACAACAACCCTGTTCAGATGCTTTTACTTTGACAGTCAGCACAAGTTCATTCTTTAAAACAATATGTTTAACGACTACAAGAGAAGAGGCCTGAGAATCCGAGTTTACAGTGTGTGGGCAGATGTGATGCTGGTGCAATGAGTCTGGCTCAGGTTCCTCTGGGTGTAAACTTTCCCCCCAACACACAATCCAAATGACAAATTCTGGCACTTTCACTTCTGTGTCATGACTACAAAGCCAAGGGCTAACCATCTCCTACTAATGTCTCTGCACCTGGTGTAAATGCAGCATCGGGTGGTTGTTGGTCAGTGAACAGCTCCCGGCCAACGTCTTTCTGTCCTCATGTATTTAAATCATCCTCTTTTCATGCCTCCACACCAGCTGGGCTCTCCGTCCATCCCATTCTAGTGGCCTACAACAAAATCTCTGTAACACCTTGATTGACCTTCTTCAAATTTGGCACAAACATTTACCTGGACTCAAGCATGAACTGATTAGAGCTCAAAAAGACTTTTTAGTATTTACTCAGGACTTCGCGCAGCATTATGATAAATTTTCACACAAACAGTTCATATTTTATATGACTGGATAAACAGGGATATAATCTGAGCGGTGGATGCTTGCTCTTCACCAGTCTGTAATAATTTGGTTCTGAGCAGTAATAATAAGTAATTGATTACTAATAAATAGATTTTTCAACCAACTTTTCCAACACCACCCTCTCGTCCATTTATCATCACTTGCTCTTGTTTTTCTGTCACACTTTCCATCTCTCACTAATCCAGCAACCTGTTTTTTTTTTTCTCTACATAAATCTGTATTTTGGTTCTGATGGAGCAGAAGAGCCTCCTCTCATCCTCTCACCCTCTCATCCTCTCATCCTCTCTTTCTGTCATGGCCCTTTTTCAGCCTCACTTCTGCTTCTGAATGAGTCACGCTGGTGTGTTGATGCCGGTCGCTCGCAGCCACACAAGAGGGACACTTCTCCTCACTCCAGGCACTCTCATCAGCAGAAACCGCGTCATTAATGTTCTCAGGGGCTCCAGCTCGGTCATTCCCAGCATTTCAATCCCACAACCCTCCCTGCTCTCTGCCATGATCAGCTCTTGTGAGTTCGTGAGGGTTCACGACCAGGAAATGAAAAAAAAACTGGTAATTTTCATTGACTGTGAAAACTTCTTTGACAGAGTTTTATCTTTCTTTCCTTTTCCTTTCATATTTTCTTCCATCCTTAGTTCTGTCCTTCTTTTTTCTTCATATCCACCATCATCTCTCCTAATTTCCTTTCCTTTTCCATCCCTCACTTCCTTCACTTTCCCTTTATTGCCTCTATCATTTCTTGTTTTCTTCCTTCTTTACTCTTTTTTACATTTTCTTTTTCAGCTGGAAAACATTTCCCATAAGTGGACTTTCCACTATACAGCACAAACTCACTTTCACTCTTCCTCTCCAACATGTTCCCTTGTTTGCTTTTACTTAAGCACAGCATGTTTTTCTGACGCTGGTTTTTACTAAAGTAAGACCTGAGTCCTTCAGTGGTAAATATAGATGCCTTAATGGAGCAGGAGGGTTTAACACTCACCGTCGACATGAAGCAGTGGTCCAGGTTTTCATCAGAAAAAAGGACGCCATCTTTGATGAAGACGGCGCTCGCTCTCAGGATGAAGGAGAAGAACAGGTTGATGTGGATGTAGTTCCTGGTGCAGTGAAACTTCCTGTAGAGAAGAAGAAGAAGAAGAAGAAAAAACACGTGTCAAGGTTTTGGGAATGATGTCGGTGGGTCGGTTATAAAACTGATGTGAGATACTTCACCTGAAGACAGTGAAGACAAAAATGGCCGATATGAGAGAGATGAGGGAGGTAGCGTAGCCAGCAGTGTACACCTGCTTGAAGTTGGAGAAGTATGTTGTCTGAAATGCAGAAAAGAAAAGAGCGTAAAAGAATTACACCACTTATAATTCATTAAGTTATTCCTTACAAGTGTTTGTTAATTTTAATGGGAGTTGGATGCTGGAAATCAAAAGCTACTGTTACTGTTTTGCATTAAAAATTGCTGTTATATTGTGTAAATTGGTTGTTAGTTGTTGACGCAGCGGCTTTGTGTTTTCTCTTAGAACGATTCTGCGGCATTGATGCGACTGACATGATGTGAATTAAGTCGATGCAGAAACGATGCACCTGTGAAGTTTCTTTACGCAGCAGCAGGTAACACAGCTAGAGAACCGGGCCTGGTTCTACGGGGATGCAAAAGCTTGCATTGCACCCTTAGTTGCATTGCACCCTCTCTAACCAAAGATGGCTGCAGAGGCCGAAGTGGAACACCAGCAACAACACATCCTCCACAGCTGCAGACACCAGGTGACGACAGTAACGTTACCAGCAGCAAAGCTGTTACAAAGCCGAATTGTTTAGCATCTGCTACGACCACCGAGCTCCCACCACCGAACTCGCCCCCACGCCTTGGCCTGCAACTTCAACAAGTGCCAGAAGACCTGGGTAAAGAGAAGCCTGTGTAGGTGTGTCTACTGTTTACAACTTTTTCCAGCTGTGTTCCACTATAATCTGTTCATCAGGGACCTGTAACACACTATTTTTCACTGCTGTTGCTGATTTTATTTTAGATAGAACCCATCTGTTAATATTGTTCATTTCAGTCTAGTCCGCAAATATTGGCGGCCTAAACAAGAGAATCAGACAAACCAAACACGTAAACATCAGAAACAAACTGCAAACGCTTAAGAAACGTTAGTTTCACAAAGACACACCTTTGCTATTATCACAGACGGATATAGAGTTTATGTGTATTTTCATGTTACGATTGTTTGATCCAGATAAAAGCAGCTGTAGACGTACTGTATATAAACTGGGTCATTATCACTTTCTGGCGGACGGCGATCACTCTGAGGAGTCTGCACTAGTGCAAAAAGACTCATTTCAGAAGCAGCCTGAGTCATTTTATTCTGGAGCCTGTGAAGAACATGCATCAACAAACAGTTCAATCTGACCATGTGAATTTTTGGACTTTTGCCCAAAGCTCCTCCCTGAAGTGTATTTTGACTTACATGGTTTATCAGGTGATCTGCACTTTGTCTTTTCAAGGACTGAAGATTTGTTTTTTAATCTTAGTCTCTGCAGCAAAATATTCTGGAACAGGACTGAAGTGGAAGGAGTTGATGGTGTTTCTCTCGAGTGATGCATCTCTACCTGCTCCCACAGACTTTCTGCTACATCATACCACTTCCTCCTTTGCTACTTAGAGATGAGAGTCAATCTTCGGTTGATAGCAAGAGGTCACTTGTCAGGAAAATGTTAACAGTGTAAATGACTTTCATATTTCTAGTGAAGACGATCTTCCAGGGTTCATTTTGGCGTCAGACTGAAAGACAGAACTATCAATCATCTGTTTTACAGCCTGCTTGAAATAACTGCTGTCACTAAGCCTTCCTTGACCGTAATCAGCATAATGTGCCAGAGGTGCAAGGGGTAGTAATTAAAATATCTTAATGAGAACACAAGGCATTATATGTGCATGTGAGTCACGCTACAGTACCCACTGGTCTTCAGCAGAGCGACAGGCTTCATCTGATGGGTCCTGAAAAATGTGAGGAGTGATGCCTCCTCTCTTTTGTTCTATACAGTGGTAATTTACCAGCAGCAGAACAGACAGGAGACCCAAATGAGAGAGTTAAAAAGAGAAAGGTGTCTACGCTGAATGCACATGTGCACAAAGTTTGTGACCTTGTAGACGAGTTCTGACTGAACGACAAAGCTCCACAGAAATAAACACCTACCTCGGGTTCTGTCTCTTCATCCTCCGCAAACTCACAGGCCTTCTCGTAGGAGGGGTAGGCATCGGACCATCCTTCCTCAGTGCAGTTCTTGTAGATGTAAACTTAAAAACACACACACACACACACACACACACACACACACAAACATTAACCTCTCAGTGACGAGGACAGAAGAGTCGCCAACAACAAGAGTCCCAGGGGAGCTGGTGGGTGTGTGAGAGATGTGGCACTTATCAGTCACCCCAGAGAGGCAGAGTAAATAAATGACTGACAGAAACAAGGATTTGAGCAGGAGAGTGAGGAGGCTGCGCTGAGGGACCTGGCAAAAGACTGTTGGCACAGACATATAAACAGAGACAGAGATTAAAGACACTCGATGTTTCCTCTCTTCGCTGCTTTTTAGGACACTGACTGATCTAAACATATATATTAATACCATTAATGATACCACTGACCATTATGTGGCCGAGATCTGCAAACGGAAAAAAACCCCACTACATGTAAAAAATTCTCCTTTGATTATTTCAGTGCTACCAGTAACAAAAGTAGCTATTAGCTCCAGCAGCAGTTTACAGAGTCTAAAGTAAGAAAAATGTTTAAAAATACAGAAGAAGAAGATGGGGGTTGAAGTGAATGTAATTTGTTTGTGATGCTCAAAAGTGGAAAAATTGTATTTGAAAAAAGGTGGGCCAAACTTTTATATATTAAACTTACATCTGTCTGCTAACGGCCCATATCATTTAAAGATAATCAGACATATCATTCACAACATTCATTTGAATGGAAGAATTCAGATTTTTGGAACTGACCACGGATCAGGAACAGTTGCAACGTATTAAAAATATTCTCTAATTAACTTTTGCTTTTAGTCTCAATAAGAATAGTATTCTGAACAAATGCATATGGTTTTTACAACAATATTACAGTATTATTTATTATTCAGACATATTTATCAAAGAGCAGTTATTGAGTTGTTTTGTGGAGTTTTGTTGAAGGATCTGATGTTAAGTGCTGACTACACCGTGCAGTCTGTCCATGGAGAGCTTTGATAGTAATGAGTGAAACCTTCAAATGAATTCAAAAGCCAGTGCAAAGAGGCTAAAATGGGGTTCTGTGATTTCTTTAATTCGTTCTTGTTAAGAGTGATTGCTGAGCTGAGATAAGATGAGATGTGAGCCACTGAAAACAAATGGTTTCCCCTGTTTGGTGTGGAAGATCTCGACTGGTCTGAACCTCAACTCCTTTGGGACGAACTGGAACACTGACTGTGAGCTGGACCATCATCAACCACCATCAGCATCAGCACCACCACTCACACCGTTAAATCCCTGCAGTCAGGTTAAACATCTGGTGGAAAGGCTGGCACCAGGAGAGTGGAGGCTGTTAGAGCAGCACGAGTGCATCACTAGACGACCACTGGGGTAAATTCAGTTCAGTTCAATATACTTTATTTGTCCCATAACCGATGATTCAAGGCAACATGTCTGCAAACAAAGCACACATAAACAGCTCACCTACACACACACACAAACAATCCATCAATAAAAAATGGAAGTACAAACTGATTCGGATGCTCGACTGTTTATAACTGTGAGTTCTGTTGGTGAGAAAACTGATGATCTATCTGATGAGGTGCTGATCTAAATGGAAGAAGGGGACTGAGGAGAAAACAACACAAAGTGAACAGTGTACTGTATACTACTGCGGTTCCTGTGAACTAACCCTTTAAGATGACATTCTGCAGTCGGTACACACACACTGATTGTGCTGCAGCTTCACACAGAACATGCAGACACAGTGTGACGTCTGATTAATGCTCAGTTTGTTCCCATTTGTTCAGATGCATCAGCATGAATATATGAATATGCATCTTTCCTGATGAAGTCTGTTTGTTTTACTTGGACACTGATGAATAATAATAATGGAAGCGCTCATCACACCCCCGCCCCCCTCCCCTCTTTGTAAAGACACAACCATAAAGACACGTATATACACACATGAGCACAAACTGGTAGTTTCTCAAAGGAGCAGTAACGCCACTGCTCTTCATTAGGATTCAACACTGCACTAAAACTCCATCTGCCTGTTAATGACCTGAGAGGCTGGAGACGCACATCCAGTGAAAAGGACCCATGTCAAACACATGTGAACACTTATAGATGTATACACACTAAACAACAACAACAACAACAACAGTACTACTGACAAGACAGTCACATAGGCGCCAGTTTATGTTTCTGCCTGTGGGAGTTCTGAACAGGTGAATGTCCGACCTCCACACCCAAGATGAACCTTCAGCACCAACCACAGCCTACATGACTTGTTGCTTTATAGATTTGGAAAAGGTTGTTATATACACACATTTCAGCACCATGACAAATTAACCGTCACACACGCACACACACACAGGCTCAGGTGGAGTGTGGTAAATGCTAGATTGGATAAATTGGGTGGGGGTGCTCTGTGATTGGTGGTTAAAGTTAGGGGAGGGGCCTGACAGTGACACAACCACAGCTGCTTGATCTCTACCATTGATCCGACATGGACCAATCACAAATTTAACCCCGACTGCACACTCCCGCGTACGGGTGCTCCGGCCCAGAAGCAACCACGGTTTCTGCTCCTAATCGTGGTAATTATGCTACAGCCTATTTAAACATGGGTTTCACATATAATCCCGAAGGTTTCACATGAGAATGTACATGGGCTCCACAGCACATGTGTTCCACACATTTCACATGTGAAATTGTGCAAAAAACCACATGTACATGTGGTCACATGTGATTTTTCTGTAAGGGCAGTGTACAATGCATGTGGCATTGGATGTAAATCAAATTTGCAAATTTGGAAAGCTAGTGCCAAATAAACTTCACATAGAGATATCAAAATGTTAGTTACATCAGATTTAATTGTTATTTCTTTGTTGTCCAATGGTTTTTTAACTGTTTAACTACCACCCACAATTCATTTTTAAATTAAATATTTAAAATGCTGTCTGGTTTAAGTCACTTTGTTTTCTCACTTTTCTAGTGTGAACACATTAGAATCATTATGTAGTATAGAATAGGGACACAGTGAATTACTTTTTCTTCTTCTGACTGTTTTTAGATGGTTGTGGTTGGAAAACAACAATAAGGTTTATTACTGCCACCAGGTGGTAGGATGAATACAGCTCACCTCACACTCCTCATGTCTGTGTATTTTAACTCTTCTCTCATGTCTGCAAGGGTTAGAATTGATTTGTGGAAACTTTATGACCATAAATGCAAGATAAAAAACACCTAACATCATAAACATCTGCAAACACTGACATTTCTCAGCAGGGGAAATTCCCTCTGTCCATCACCTCTGACACTCTGTGTGTTTGATCATTGTGTGTTTCAGTGAAGCTGACCGCTCTGCTCCCACTGTCAGATACCTGCACCTGTATGAATCAGTGATTTGCCTGAAGGTCAAAAGTGCTACCAGCTAATCATTATTGCTGGTCTGCTGCCAATCACTATGAACTCTTTCAGTCTGAAACCAGACACAGTTAAACAAATAAATCAGAGAAAATGCCAAAACCTGTGGTGTGTGATCACCTATTAGCCATTTAATAGACTTGGAGAAGCATTTTTGTCTGGGCGGGAAAACATCATCGGCACACCACCAATACAATCACACACACAAACTCTTGCATCATTGCTGCTGTTCCTCTCTGACATCTGGAGCTGATAAATACTGTCCAACCACAAAAAACAAGTCATTCAGCACGTTCTGATTTAGCTCTGATTTAGCTGACACTTGTACATGCACCCTTACTGAGCTTGTATAACTGTTTGTACAATATATGTGATTAGAGTTCTCCAGAAGAAAATACATTTTTGGCTCATTAGCGCCCTCTGTCCGTGGTTAAATGCTGCTGTTAGCTGTGAAAACATCAATCCAACAAATATGATTATAAATAGAAATCCTAAATATGATGCATTGGTATCAATAAATCAGAAGTCTATGTTTGTTGAAATGTAATTTACAAGTGTAACTATTGAATTAAACGCATCTCTAGAAGTGTTTAAGTGGTCATACTGCAGGAGCTGGAATGGTTCACTTGGAGCACTAGTTAGCTGTTGTATTGTAAATGTAAATGCCAGTATGACGGTTCTGTATGATTGCAAGTGTATGAATGACCAATACATTGCAATACATAGAAGCAAGCTTCCTGTCCATCATAACTTCACACAACTTAACACTGACTAAAGGCCAGTAAATCTTACGTTGTCCAACCTAAACGATGTACATGGTCCCCCACCCTCTGATACCACCAATACAGCCGGAGTGTTTCCTGAATTAGTGTCCCTAAGGCGGCAGGAGATACGACACAGCCTGACGATCACGGTAGAAAAATAAATAACTAACCCTTTTATAATGTGACAATGCTGTGGTAAAGGAAAACTCATGATTTAGGTTAAAATAAGTTCGTCATTAAGGTTAGTCGTGGTTACAGTAATAAACACATGGTTGCAGTTATAGAACGGTCGTGTTCAGGGTTAAAAGAAACAACGGTTGTGTCTGAAATCACTCACTCACTCACTCACTCACTCACTCACTCACTCACTCCTCCCTCCTCTCTAGCCAGGGAGTCCTCTGCAGAGGCCTGTACAGTGAGCTCATCTGTAAAGTGAAAAAACTCTTTCAGACACTACTCGGGTCATTTTCTCTGCACCATCTTTCAGTGCGAGCGCAATGCATGATGGTATATATTGCTGGGTTAGTGACCATCGGTTGTACACTACTTGCATTGTGGGATACTATGATCCCACTATATAGGGTATAATATTTTTCACTATACATTCGGACAACACTACAAAATGAGAAACTCCCTATATAGTGGACTGTTTTTGGACACATCAGTTTGAAACAGGAAGCAAACAGGCGATGTGTTAAAGTCCAGTGTCGTGTCATCCTATGAGACAGTCCCCTGCTGATGGGTTCTTACTTTGTCCTCTTCTGTAAAAGCTCTAGGTAAGTGTGAAAGCGGCCAAGTGAAGACTGTAAACGATGAATTTAAATGAGGTAAACTTGCAGCGATGTTCTCCCACCATGGCCTGAAGCAGAACTCTACGACGGCCATGACGCGTTCAGGGTCACCAGGTTTTCTCTGTGAATCTGTGTATCCAAGAGAGAGGATAAAAAAAAAAAAGTTTTCAGTGAAATAACAGGTTTCAGTTTGTAAAAATGCCTGTCCAGCTCCTCAGCACGGCTGAGCAGTTGTGTGGGGGTTTGAACTGTGGGTGTATTTACCGGTATCCAGCTACATTAGCCTCAGTAAAACGCAGTGTGCAGAGCCCCGCAGGCCCACAGCCGCAGCGTCGGTGGCTGACTGGTTGGATGTGATTGAAGGTTGAAGGCCGGGGCTCCGGGGAGGGCGCTAGTGCTCATACTGCCATGCTTAACAAGCAGCGCCAACTCCTTCCTCATGCTCTTGGCTCTTACATTGAACTCTTTGATTTTCCAATTCATTATTTTCTCTGCATACGGCCTCCTGTTGGTGAGTCTGGATCTTACCACACAGCTACAGCTACAGCGCTTGACTTATCCGGGTGACTGTGGAGGAGGAAATCCAGTGGGGTCCAGGAACCCACTAACACTGAGTTATGAGGTCATCAGCAGCAACCTCCGCCTCCTGATCCCTCCACACTGAGTATACGATTTAACTTTATACTGAGAAGCTGCTCTGGGTTTTACTCTTCTTCTCTGCTTTGAGCTGTCTTTGTATTGAAAATCATTCAAGTGCATCATTTCTACACCAAGCATCCCACATATTGGACATGCTCTCTGCTCGCTGCCTCCTCTGTTGAAAGTAATTCACCAGCACTCACACACGGGAAGAGTCCGGACTTTATTCAGAGTGTTTCAGCACTGGGACGTCGTCAGGGTGTTTTACAGAGAGGGTAAAAACCATCCTGTCAATGCAGGAGCCAAACTGATACTGGAACAATATGGATATTTGAGATTTTTTTTCCCTTGATAAGGATGTCTTAAATGAATTGAATGTGTGGTCACTAACACAAACACAGTTTCTCTTTTCTGTCTACATGTTTATTTGGTAGTTGCTCACACATCCAGCTGCAGTTTTTTTGTTGGTTACTAAATATTTGTGACTCAGATTTACAAATGAAAAATAAACTTGTCAGTGCTCTCTAGTGTCCAAATTTTGTAAATGACCTCAAACTGAAATCTAGCACTGACATACACAACAATACAGGTATATTTGGGATTAAGATAAATCTGCTGACCTTCCCTTCTTACGGTCACCAATGACACCACAGCATTGCTGTGTACTATGGCCTAAGCTAATTTGCAATGTCATCAATAGATGAGCCTTTAAAATACAAAACAGCTGAAGACACGAACAATACACAAAACACACAACAGTCCTATGATATGTTATGTACCATTTAAACCTCTTTATATTTTTGAATTCTGACTGTGATGCATTGAAATGTATTTTTCTTGTCCACATTTGCACTTTTGGTTTTTTATCTTTGAGGCAGTAGAAATGCTTGTATCAGCCTTGTTTGAGGCAGAGTAGAGATATGATTAATAATGCTGCCAACAGTCATGCTGATCTTTTGTTTTTTTCTCCTGCTTGTGCCTCCAATGATGTTGTCAGTAAATATTCTTTCTTAAGGCCACAATGACTTTTGCCTGCAGACCAAAGCCTCTGAAATTCGTGATTTCTCATTTAAGGCACTAACTTTTCCAGCATAATGAACTTGTGCTCAGTTCATCCATCTTTCAGATTCAGCTCAGCCAGTCACCAGGTTATATTTAGATAGCTCTTAGTAGTGGTGGTATGCTTTCAGTGAGTGGTTTATGGACATATGTTTTTCATGTGGACTCTGAACTTAGCTGCAGAGAGCGGCGCTCTCCTGACTGTTAACAGGACCGCCGCCCTCTCCAGACCCCTGTCTCATCCAGCTGCCTGATCTCAAGAAAACTAAACACACTCACAGTCTCTCATGTAGCATTAAGTGTTTGAAAGACAGATACAGATGCAGCTGGAAAAACTTGATTCATGCCACTTGGGAGATAAACAAAAACAAAACAAATCTGCAGGTTGTCACAAACAGACCCAGTGCAAATGGAGAGGAGTGGAATCTACTCAAGCACAGAATTATCTCAATCAGCTTTACAACAACAAATCTCTGGGAAGATATAAAACGCTGCTCTGATCCTGTATGTGTTTATGTGTGTGGCAGTAAAAACTACTTAACATTTCTACCAAAGATCCTCTTGTAAGCTCTTCTTACCTTATTTAGGCTTTTATTTTGAAGGTGAAAAGTGTGCATGTCTGTCTGTTTGTGTTTGTGTGTGACAGGAGAAACTGCCTAAGCTTTATACACCAGAGCCTCCAGTCAGCACCTCTTACCTGGTTGAGACTCTTATTTTGAAGGTTACACAGAATTTACAGTGCCCTCAAAATCTCAAAATTTGGTACAGCGAATTTGTTTTAATCACATAAAGGTGCATCTTTAAATAAATAATTTAAGACAAACATCATTTTCATTTAGTTTGAGGGGCTCTTGGTGGTTGAAGGTCCTAAACTGCCTCCTAATTGACTTCACACAGTTCTGCCTTGAAACGTGACACACCTGAGCACAAGTGATTTACCTTGGTTATTAACAAACAGCTGGGAGACGTTGGAACACGAGACGCTGACCACCTGTCCCACCTCTGCACGGAACCAGCAACCAATGTCGTCCCAAAATGTCGGACAACCTGGGACAAGAAGACAACATTTATCACTCATTAGAGTGAAAGACAGAACCTGATCAGATATAGAAACTAATTAATGAAATATAGTCTGACACGTTTTGTCTGTGCAGAACATATGAGCACATATCTCACTTTAAGAGAAAGCAAGAAGGTCATATGGAGTCATTATAAAGCAATTTATGAACTAAACAGGTGTCACAGCAGAGCGTCAGTAAATGCAAGTGATAATGAAATTTACTTGACAATTATGGCACCTTTTAAGACACTGTTATAGAGGCACATCAAGACTACACTTTGTCATTAAATCAAGAAATAAAATGTCAGCTGGAACAAATGGAAAAATAAGTACAGTAGCGTGGAGAAAATATGCAATTAGTAGAAAAAAGAAAAGGAAAAATCAGGTATTTAAGATGAACAATAACAAAGAACAGGAGCAGCACAACAAAAGTCAACATTAATGAAAGGCTTGAGTGTTGAAAAGAAGTGATTGAAATGATGCTGAATGTCGAGTACGAGCGTCTTGTCCAGGCGGCAACCTCCAACAACACTGAAGTGCGAAAAACTGCAGTTCCTCCAATGACCACTAGAGTCTGGCTCCAACATTGAGTCAGTCCCCATAGACTCCCATGTTAAAATGTCCAACTTTACAGCAGAAATAAACATTTTTTTTTTACAGCCTGGTACAAAAACTGTTTTGGTCTCCATCGCTAATTTCTGACTGGGAGCACACCGATCCGGATCTACTGCAGGTAAAAACACTTACTATGTATAAGCACCTCACACAACCCAACATCAAATAACCCAAACTATAACTTTAATGAGCTAAAAAAAATCCCCAAAAATCTGCCATTGCATTGAGGCTATTTCAACTTGTCGTCAATAGAAATCTACTTTTTTAAAAACATTGTAGAGATGAGTTTCTAGCAGGTTGCTGCATTAGAATCAAGGAAAAATAAACGGATTTTCATTAAACACGGGTTGAAATAATCTCGTTGCACTGGTAGATTTTCTATAATACAAACAGTACTTGCTAATGTTAACCTCACTGGAAATGACTGTCAGTGCAGAAAGTTATTTTGTCTTCTGATGTAATTTTTCAAGGGGTTTCCCCAAGTCTGGAAGAGAGAGAAGGGGCGTTTGATTTGGTGATGTCCTAAGCCCTCCTCTCTGCCCACGCTCTGCCTCTGCCGTTCCCCTCACATGGCCGACAATCTCTCCCTGCAGCCTCCGTCGCCCCGAATGAGGGAGCTGCGGAGGATAAGGGGGGTGGGTGTCTATGTGTGTGTGTGTGTGTGTGTGTGTGTGTGTGGGAAGGGGGGCAGTAATGAGGAGTCTCTCGTCTCCCTCTGCCACGACAACGCCTCGTACATCAAAGCTGCTCGGCCCTGTGTCAATTAAAACAGCAGCTCGCGGAGACACACCACCACTCATTCATAATAAAACACAGCTTTTGGCGACTGCTGGAGGTTCTCCTGCCAAAGCCGAGATGAGGCAAACATCTCGCTGGATAAATGTGACGTTGAACTCTCATTTTCCATTTTTTTTTATTTATTTTCTTTTGCTTTGCATCAGGGTTATTGTTTGTTCACCAAGCTGCAGATAACATTGTCATGTGCAGCATCAGTTGAGAGCAGCATATTATTGTAACTGTCCTAATGGCTTTCCAGGTAATGAAAAGCCACTCTGTGTGTATTCAAAGGGCACGATGCTTTTGTTTGAGTCCCAGTGTGTGAAAAGAAGCATCGGCTGCTAATTAAAGCAAAGCTCGTGACATCAGACATCCATCAGGTATTAATGGTTGCACCTTTTTGTCCAGTTAACAGTCAGTATCCTGAGCACAAGGCTCCTCTCCAGGGTCTCAGTTAGCGGTCCGTGTGACCAACTGTTATGTAATGTTCTTCAACGGCACCGTTATGCTCACACATGCACAAGCATCTCATTAATACATTAATGCACACCTTTGCACATTCCCACAGAACTGCTCCAAAGGCAAACAAAGCAAACAGAGTAATCAGAGCAACCAGAGCAACCAGAGCAACCAGAGCAACCAGAGCAGGCCCCAAATGAACCGACAGTCTTACGTTTCTTTACGTTCCTCTGATGAGTTTGTGTCATAATTTATGTTTTTAAAGATGCACATTTGTAAGACGCCCAGATATTGTTTTTTAATCACCACAATAAGGAAATATTGTTAATCAATATACATGAAAAATTGATTTGATTTCCCTCAATATCCATGCATATAATTCATCTTTTTGATAGTTTACGAAAGAAAAGAAAAACAATGGGATATTCTATAGGAGACGAGACAGGGTTGCAAAAAAGCTCTGCATTTCAAGAGGACACAGACACCATGTCTGTCTCCTAGACTTTATATTTATTGACAACTACCTTGCAAAAGCAAATATGTTTTTTAAAAACATAATAATTCTGTTAACAAAAACATAGATAATGCACGTATCAGTAAAGCGTTCACTGATAACGTATTCAGTTTGTTTTTCTACAAGATCAACTCACTCACTCTGATACAATATCCAGCTGTTAATGTTCTTTGTTGTGACTTTTAACTGAAACCACAATCTTTCCCTAACCTGAACACAACTGCCTTTCATCACAATGTAAAAATGATTTAACAATACAGACACATACGTTTTGGGAGACTGAAACCCTGCCTCCCCTACCCTGCTTGTAAATGACTGGTATTTGAAGCAGCATTGCTAAGAGAAGCACATTGTCCTCTGAGATTTACGTGACCTATGGTAAATATTATGAGGTAACCTTTGTTACTTTTGAGGGGCAGACATAATCTGAGAAGGTGCCTTAGATTCACCAAACGTCTAAACGTATGTCTTGTGTGTCCTCTCCGTATCTCAGCATTTTGTTCCTGCTCCGGCTACAACTCTACCTCTCTCACTTCACTATCCGGTGTTTTCATGGTTCAAATAAAGCATTTGTCTTCTGTTTGTCATGGACACCGCTGCAGCTGCTGTGATATTGCTCCAAGTATTACAGGAGAAGAGGCTCCACTGGGATGTGCTGTACTACAGTATCTGCCCTTTAATAAACAATGTTATGTGATAAAGGAGAAACGGAGAAGACAAGGAGCGAGAAGTGACAGAGGGGAGATGTTCAAGCGGACAAAGAGCTCGACCCGACATTCAGGATGGCGTTTGTGTAGTTGAACTGATGGATCATGGAAACATAAAGTTTTTTTTTTTATATTCTGTTTAGACAGAGCGGACATCTCTACTCCCTGGATCTCTCACCTAATCTCCCTCCTGGTCCTCTTACAAAACTCAAACTCAGTGTGGTACCATTTCCCACTCCCACCTGACACAGATGATCCAAGCAAAACTGGATGTTAAATCTTGATTCAATGAAGTGAAACAGCTACAGAAGATTTAATAAGCAGATTGTCTGCAGCCAAGAGAGAGAGTGGAGAAAAAAAGGCGAAAAATGAAGTGTGAAGTTGTATGTGTACGCCAGTGGTTTCCGAATCCAAGTCAGAGTCACATGTGGGCCAAGTTGCCCTCTATCCAGGGCCTCCACATCGACACTTTCAGAAACTGTCCTTTCGTGAGCAACTGAACTGATGTTTGATGCAGGGGACGGGCGTCTCTTGACAAATTGAGAACGGCAACTTCTTTGCAAATGGGACAAAGTGGCAGCCACCACCTTTCCGTGAGGTTTAGATAGAGGCATGTTGGTTTCAGGTGCTGTTGTGCAGTTAGACCAGTGTGCTTTATGTTGAGCAGTGAAGGTGTCGCCACATTATTGTGGAAAAACAGCTTTTGTGTGTGCTTTCTCCATTATTGTGCATGCGACAGCTCAATGTGTCTGTAAGTAAATGGTAAATACCCCAGTCATGATTTATTTAAGCTTTTACATCTGTTAAAAAAGGCTGGTTGCTAACAAGTGTCTAAATGAGACTTCAGAGGTTGTCAGGGACGCTAAACACGAAAACTGATCTACTCGCCCGCCCACCTTTACAGCCTCGTTGTCGCTTTTGTAAACTATTACCAACCTTGTAAGAGGAAAGGCTTTAGTAGAAGAGGTCAGACCTAAATCAAACTACAAGTTGAAATGTAGTGGTGGTTGAAGTCATGTGACCGTGGTGGAGTTTATAGCCTAGAATCATCTTTTTACTTCTGGTGAAAGTAAAAATCATAAAGTGGTGTTCATTAGTGAAGATTATCCTGCTGAACAAAACATGTCAGTATCGTAAACTTTTGTTTGTCAAAGTTTATTTTCTGTTTATTTTCTACAATAATCCAAAAACCATTCTAAAAATCCCATTGGCATCTGGGTTGGCCTACAAAAACCAATCATCCCTGCAGCACTCTATAAACTCTAAACATGTCGAGGTTGGATCTGGTCCCCAGTCGTATCCACTCTCACCAGTGAGTAAATAAAGTGCCTTTAAATTACACATTAATTCAATTAAAATGTATGAATACATTTTCTAGGGTTGCAAATGATGATTGAAGATAATTAACTGATCAAATATTTTGATTATAATCTTTAAAAAAAATATCTTAAAAAGTTAAACACGCCGTATATAATTTCCGATTCGTCTTCAGATATCTTGTTTTATCTGAGAGTCTGAAATCCCAAGATTTTCAAAAACTGGAGACTCCAATTTATGATTTTTAACAATTCATCCGTTATTAACAACACAGTTAATACATTCAGTGTTCACACATCGATAGACCAGTCATTTCTGCATTAAGATTTAGTCTGTTGCTTTTCCCCTCTGGTATTTAGTCTTTGTAATTAGTTATGAAAATGACAATTGTGAGTGAGCAACGGGATACAGCGAGGGCAGGACAGCTATAGTGTGAAATGATCTGAGGAAATGTCAACAATGGAGCGTGAAGGCAAATCAGGAAGGCACTGATGCGCACACACACCCACCGTGGGTCTAATTACAAGCATCCTTTTAAAATGGACAAGACCGTTAACCCTCTCTGTCTGTTTACTCCTGCATTACATCCTCACCTCCC